CTGGAGCCGGTGCGGCTGGTCCGGCTGTTGGGGTGTTCCCTAACGCCAAAGTGGGTGGATGTGCTGTCCCTCTTCTGCTGAGCTGTGCTCCGAACGTGGTGTCAGGTCATCTCGTCCACCAACCCTCTTATGCTGCTCCGGCTGCCTCTTCATATGGCGCCTCATCAGTCGGTGCTGCCTCCGTCGCCGTACCTCTGGCGCCATCAGGGTACAGAGCCCAAGAAACCAGCAACTTCGAACACAACATCCGGAACGCCAACTCAGGAACGGCCGGTGCTATGATTTCTGAGCCAATGGCGGCCCATTTCTCGGAGCACGCGTTACCATCCGTGCAATGAAGTCCATGAATTCAAGCAACCGTGGTCTTTGAAATAAAAAATATTTATGAACCTATTTATGCAAATTTTATATGTAAGATTTTTTTTATAAATTTTGTACTGTAATGAAATATATAATAAATGTTTAAAATTTCTTTTCTTAACAACTTACTTTTAGTTTATTAACTTAACCTTATATTTTCTTAACAACTTACTGTTAGTTTATTAGCTAACATTATTTGCCTACACTTATTTAGTTACCGTACAATTCGTAGAACGCTAATTCAAGTTTCATGATACAGGCTTAAGAGCACGTTAAGCTCGATACTTTTAATATTTAAATTCAACTCTAATATTCCGCTTACATAAAGGTATTATTATTTTGGAAGCACGAGAGTATGACCAGTCTGTCATACATGTATAACTAGAGCAAATCAAATTTATATTCAACAATTTGTATACCTTTTCTTTTTTTTTTTAAATATACAAATTGTTATCAATAATCATATTATATAATATTGTATAAAATCAAATTTATATTCAACAATTTGTATACCTACAAATAGCTTAAACAGATAAAATTAAGCAAAACAGCTAGATAGCTCGCTAAAGACTGTTAACTTCACTAGTAAAATATTTTTGGATGACATTCCTGAAGCTAGGATATTTATCACTAAAAATATCCATTTTACAATTTTGAATAATTTTATAGTATTTTCTCATAGTGGAGTAAAGTGGAGACATGCTACCATAATTGGTTTTTCTCAGTTCAATACCTAAAGGTTTGTAATTATGCAGCCTAGCTGACATTCTAGGTATTTTTAAGTTTATTTGGGACAGAAGGGACGGACAATCTATACCATTATTTAGTAATTTCAACAAAACATTTAGGGCCAAAGTCTTTTTTCCATGTTTTAATAATAATATATTAAAATGAGTTAACCTTCCAACATAGCTTCTGGCCGTACGGTAAATGCCATCTACATAAGAAACTTTAACACCTTAATGGTGAATGAAACTATTTTTCCGGATTTAAATCGCGTATATTTGTTTTTTCAAACAAACCGACGTTTCGGGCCCTTTACAGGTCCCATGGTCACGGGTCACCTTAATGGTGATCGTAAATAATTAGTGTTTCCCTTTTTTACTTACCTAGAAATTACGAGTATTTGTACAAATTAATATAGCGAAAAGACAACGGATTTACGTCATTATGTCCTATAAGTGCAAAGATAACTTTGTATCTACGTACTGGAGCGCTTAACTGATCGATCTTGGCTCATTCATTGTCAAAATATTTCGAATGGAACGCATTAAAATGTTATAACTAGATAACACATAAACATAAAACCATTGAAAATATTATACCGGTAAATACGGGTGTATTTTGCTTCACCGCACCGTAGTCGGATTATAAAGAGAAGTTTCAAATGTATAGTTTAATAGTCAGAGCAAAATATAGCCCTAAACCTAAAGGCCTGATTGGCTGGAAGGCTCTGAATTTGGATTTCACCGGCCCTTATGCAAATTTGCTTAGCGGTCCTTTTGTCATATTTTCGCCCAAAAAAACAAATATTGCAATAAAAATTGGAAATCAAGAGGACCTACCTTACAAGTATAAAAAACTATAATATACCTACCCTAAAAAATATTGATCACCAGTGAAATGTACAGTAGGTTTCGTTGTTGTGCATTTAGTATACAAGTTAGTGTTTTTTTAGTGATTTTATAGTGATGTGTAATTACTTGTCAATAGTTCTATCGTTATCAAATCGATGGCGTTCTTATTAATTTTAAAATTTTTGTATTTGTATTCAATAATTATATTTGTTGGAAGATTTTTATTGTGCTTAAAATGCATTTCAATTATTTTTTGTATGGTAGCAAAATGTGATGACAAGAAAGCTTGAAAAGTAGGTGTCAACTAAACTTCATATTATTCAATATATAACGTCGAGTCTAACAGATTTGGATTGATTTAATTAGGCTATTTCACTGAACGGTCAAAAATACCCGTTGTAAGACCCATTATACGAAGTTTACATTACATCTTATGATGTAACACAACATTATTATCATGTTGGGTACGTCTTTTAGATTCTCGTCTCATTAAGGACTAAAAGATTAATTTAGCATTGTTAAAACGAGTGAGGTTCCCTGGCAATTTTCTTTGAGTGGTAATAATTAAATCATAATTATTTTATCACACTAAATAAACGAGTTCCTAAACTTTTTGCCCTATAGTACTGCCAATACTGGCATATGGTCTCTACTACGATGGCTTAACGCATATATAACTGACATAGTATCCTTCTTTGTGTTCTGTTCTTTAAAACAAAATGTAACCGTGGGAGTTCCTTAAGGTTCTAATTTGGGACTTCCACTATTTAATTATTATTTATTAAAGACATTCCACAATGCTTTATTTACTCAACAGCGTTTATATTTGCTGATGATTTAAAATTGGCAGAATAGTTGAATCTGAACGTGACGTAAATTCGTCCAATTGGACCTTGACATCTTGTTTTATTGGTGTGACCATTATAAGATGTGATTATACAGGATGTAATCGTTAAGTGTACCCAAGCGATTATTCCGTAAACATAAGAAACATCAAAAACTTTTAAATTGATATCAAAAGTATGTTTGCCTAATGAGTAAAACGACATCAATAACTTTAAAAAAATAAAAACTAGAAATATCCAAAATTTTAACGTTATACGGCCGCTATACATCTAATATGGACATTCGTAGAGGTTTTAATTTCGAACAACTGCTTTGAACACAAAATTTTGTACTTACTTAATGTGTAAATTTTTGTATCATACCAAGTGACGGGACGTACAAGTCGTGGGCCTGGTGGTAAGCGACACGTCTGTCCATAACCGTTGCAGAGCCACTCAGAGCTTTAAATCATAAAGACTGCCACTGCGCCCGTCACCCTGAGACATAAGTTGATAAGTCCCATGTGCTTGTAATTTCACCAAAATATATTATAATGCTCTGGTATTAGTACATTGCCTCTTGAAGTACGTACCATAGCATCGTGTGGTGTAAACAACTACAGCAATTATCTGGTCTCAAGCTAGGGAATTCCCTGTACTATGAGTACCAGAGCAACGGAATTCACCCAGAACACCCAGATTTTACCAATTTAGAAAAGTTGGGTTGTACTTCGTCTATTTCCAGACTATGCAGTCTGTACTATCAACAAAGTTGAAGCCTTGTCAGTTTTGAAACAGTTTTCAATTTTACCTAACCTCGTACATTGTTTTATTGACCTGTTATAATGAAAACATTTTGTTTTATAATTGTAAGTCAATGGTTTATAACAAAAATTTTTTTTGCTTTGCATGTGATTGGTTGACAAGAACAAGCAAGCTGCGGGGGGTCGTTAGTGACCGTAGTTGCCTGCACGCAAAAAACCCATAAGGTGATAAAGTGCTGAATTTGCTGACAGTACAACGACTGCAGTGGGTTTGTGGATACTTTTGGTGCATCACTATCGTGTTACCAAAGAACTGCACAAGACTTTGTTTGCATTACGTGAGCAATAACGTGGCAATGTCTGCTTTTGCAATATAATAATATCTAGTTATGCATGTAATATTATTAATACTCGTGTTTTTACTCCTCGAACGGATATCTCGTATCTTACTCAAATTAAATACATTTCTCACTACCTTGAATTACATCATTGTGTTCACGTGTATGTATAGTAAATCGCAGGTTATATGCTTAGATATAATATGAAAATATCTATCATCATCCACTGAGGGTTTCCATAGTCTGCCATGCTGGTCCAGTGCAGATTGGGGACTTAATGATAATAATAATAATAAATCATTTATTTGGACATCTATGGCCCACTTGTTAGTAATTACTTAATAAATAAATTAATTAATAAATACCAAATGTTTGATAGGAGTTGTTTTGTCAATTGGAGGTCGACGGTCCGAGTTACTGTGGCGACATATATGACTATAATTTCTAAGCTACGTAAATTTTTGAATGTTTAGTAGCATTTTCAAACCTTTCTAAACCTATCTCCAGAAAAGTTGTTATTTTGCAAAAGTGACCCTTACCAAGGGTACGACATTTTGAAAAAGATAAATAACGTTACGATTAAGTAACTTTATTATAATAATATATCCTGAATACAGGATGTTAGATGGCTTACTGCAATCTAAAACAAAACAAATCTTTAACAAAATAGAGGATTTTATACAAAAAAAGTACAATGCTCAATAAATATAAAATAATAAAAATCTTGCTGTTATTTTTTCAACTGTATTTACAAATGGAATGAGTATGGAAAGGCAAATAATTTTCTTAAAGAAAGCTATTATTTTCCTTATAAGTATTATATTATTCATTTACTAAAACTAACAATATCATACGATGTTTGTAATCAACTACTTAACATTCTGTATAATACTTCAATCCCATGGTAATTAAATATTATTCAAAATCTAGCCAGATTGTGTCTCTTCACAATCTACTGATGCAGCGTAGCGTGATGCGGCACAAAGCTGGCACAGCATTAATTCATTGCATCACGTGTGTGTGATTAGATCGATAGGCACGTACTGTTTAGTTTTACATCTGGGAGGAGAATTTGCTTCAGTATAAATAGTTTGTGCTCAGTATCTTCAGCATCACAAGCAGCGACAGAAGCACACGATGAACACACTCGTGGTGCTATCTGCATTGGCAGCTATAGCCACAGCAGCACCGACGGTGCCTGAAAACCACTATAGTGGTTACAGGCCATTGTCGTATCAAATCACGCCCACTTTTCGCCGAGAGAAAAAGTCACCTGTAGAGGCTCACAATGACGCTGTACCTGTGCTAGAAGTGCCTCAAAATTTACCTCGCACCGAGCCCAGCCATATGTTTGAAGTATCATCGAGAACCTTTGGCTCGAAGAAACCTATAATTGTCAAGAATAAATTGGGATACCACTTGTATCGTGACTCCGACGAAGAGCAAGCCCAGGCTGATTCTCAAGAAAAATGTACAAAGGAAGTCAAAGTTAAGCTTTGTGATGAAGATAATCTGCAAGCTAAGTCAAGTAACCTGAACGAAAATTTCGCAGTCGGCGAAGTTAATGTACACCAATCACAAAATGAAATGAAGCATAGTATCAACATGGCGAAAGAAACGGTTGAGAACCTTCAAAAAATGTCTCATTGGAAGCACAGCGAATTTGGTCCTGACGCAGAAATACATAAAGATATCGAAGTAGCGAGACAAGCACTTGCACACATTCAGCAAAATTTCGGCAACTTAGAATCAATGAACATGCGAACCGCGATTTTAAATGATGCAGAAGCTTTGCAAGACGCTCACTCACAAATAGCAAAAGATGAACGCATGGCACAATGGCAGGAAGCTATTGACAACATTCAGAAGAACACCGAAATAGCCAGAAATTTAGAAAATAGTTTTTCATTGACGAACGACCATGCACATTGGTCTCATATTCAAAAGCCAGATATGACAACACAAGAGAAAAGTAGCGATGTAAAGAACGCTGATAGTGTTAAAATGTTAACGAAGAAGAACGAAAACTTAGATTTTCCTCCTAAAGAAGCTAAAATCGAACATGAACCATTACATGAAGAAAAGAAGGCTGCATCTGAAATCAACGAGGTAAAAATGATGACTGAACATGAACTCAAAACGATTCCTCGTAATGATATGCCAGTAAAACCATTCGAAGAATTGTCACAAGATACACTATTTAGGTCTAAAAGTGATCTGTTAGGACAGAATATTCATACAGAAATGCACGAGGGACCTAAGGACTCTGACTTTGATTCTTCTTTGAAGCGCCCCGTGGCTGCAGTTCTCGACAAAGAGATAGAAGCCAAAGAATCGTCCGTAAAATCTACAGAACTCATAAAAATGGATGCTGACAAAGTTTTAATATCTACAAACGACAAACTAATACCCACAATGAAGTCAGCTGAAGTGAACCATGACCCAAACCAACATAATGCTCATGAACTTGTTATGGAAGTTGAACCAAAAGCCCTGGAAAATAATTTGAAAAATAGCAAGAGTGTATCGATTGAAACTGATTTAGAACACGTTTCCGCAGTTGATCAAAAGAAAGCAGAGCTAAAGTCTGATTCATTAACACATGAAAAGATGACTAAGTTTATTTCGTCAACGTCTGGAAAATCTGAAGAGCATCATGGAATGGACAACCTTCACAAAAAGTCAAATGAAAATAAAATACACTTCCAGAATACAGCGGCAAAGTCTGTTGATCAAGCTGCACACATGAGTGAACAAGTCAACTCAAGGGTTTTGGCACCAGTTGTGCACCACCATTCCGAAACTGATTTAACTGCGAAAATGGTGGAACATCTCGACGCTGAACATCGACACCAGTTACATAATCTCCACCCGCAGCCGAAAGCATGGCAAGCTGGTCAGATGGCTTCTATGAAAAATGCTGCAATTGAGCAAAACTCTTCAAATTTCGATTCCCATCCGCAGCCGAAAGTATGGGAAGCTGATCAGATAGCTTCTATGAAAAATGCTGCAATTGAGCAAAACTCTGCAAATTTCGATTCCCATCCGGAAGCGAAAAACTGGCAAGCTGACCATGTGGCTTCTATGAAAAGTTCTGCGATTGAGCAAAGCATTGCAGATTTACATAACCCGGAAATGCAACGAACAACTAATTTTTCACCTATGTCGCACCATTTTCCGACACAACATCAAACACATTTCTCCGGCCAGGCTCATCATCACCAGATTCATCATCCTTCACAGCTTGGTCACTTGCACACCATGCATCATGGATTGCCATTCAGAGTTGCTGAATCATTAAAAGAAAAGGCTGCTGAAATGGATAATTCTGTACAGTCGACGCTCCAGGTGAATACTAATGAGCCATCTGGAAAAACTGCTCTAGAACACAATGTCACTTGGAAGCAGCAGCAGGTGGGCGCTGCCAGAGGAGCTTACGGAGCTTATGGATTGGGTGGTGCTGGTGTTGGGGCCATTGGTGCCAGTATTGGTTCCGTCACCGGAGGGAGCTCAAGTGGACCCGGTGCCATTGGTGTCTTCCCTCATGCTAATACAGGAGGCTGTGCTATTCCATTGCTTCTTAGTTGTTCACCTTCTGTTGTGTCTGGGAGCCTTGCAAAGGCCCACTCTGGCTATGGAGCTCCCGCGTACAGAGCAGGGGAAAATTTCAACTTTCACTCTAAAAGGGATACCAAGAAGAGTAATGAGATCACCGCTGCTAAAGCCCAGAGGTCTCCTACCAAAGTCATTCAGAAGATTCCTTACGCTACAAACAAGAAGAATTAAGATATTCAATTGAAACTAAAGAAAGGACTGTCTAATGCTATTTTTGTACGTTTATTTATTTTATTTTGTACTTTTTTGTAGTTAGATAAAAGTGACACATCACAAATAAAAATGAAATAATGATTATAATAATATGTGTATTTTTTAATAGTGTTAACACGTACAAATGGTGTACTTGTACACCTGCAGCGATTATATCTGACCGCGTATCCGTATCCGGAGTAGTAGATTTATTTATCATTTTTCAACATTTTTCAAGTTAAATAAAAAAAAATTAAATTAAATACAAAAAAAGTTAAACAAAAATAGCTAATAAATACAAATATATTATTTTTATGACACTAAGTTACAAAAAAATATTTGCTTTTTATAGATATATGCATACGAACAATAATGCGAAAAACTTAATATTTAATTGACATCGAATACATTTTTGATGAAACGGTTGATATGATAATGAATACCTATAGTCATCATTCGTTATACACACATATGTCTCGTTGCAGGGCACCGGTCTCCTCTGAGGAGACAATTTAGTTCATTTTCTACTATCCTGCTGCTGGTATGTTGGGGACTCCAAACGCATTCGACATGTTATGCAATAAATTAGCTTTAATAAATCGACACCAGCAAGTAACACTATGTTAACTCGAATTATATCGATTTTGCGTTTTTGGTGACACAATATTCCGCTAATTTAAACTAACTTTAAATTTAAGTAAACAAACAATAATAATAACCATTTACATTATAATCTATAATGAAGTTGTAGTAAAAAAGTAATTAATACGTACACGTTTAAAATTAAAAAGTTGTTGCAAGTTTCCCTTTTATAGGCTCTGGTAAAAAGTTGCAATTTTTAAGTTAATTGTTCGTGTTGAAATAATTAGTTTTACTGCTATAATCATGATAATGATGATAACTAAGTTTCAAATGTGTGATACTTAAAATATTTGTAGTACAGTGTCAATGATTTGCTGAGCATGTTGTAATTTGATTACCCAGTACACGAAACAATTTGCAGAGACTTTATTCTCGTCATATATATGCAATTCTTGATTCGTTAAAATTGCATTCACTATGCCGCACGTCACTATTTACTTGTTATTTATTTCATTAACATTGGCTTTATGCAGCCCCGTAAATCAAGAAAACTGTAGTGAAAATATCGTAGAATTAAACGCTACAGAATCAGAAGAAGGTATTGATGATGTGAACGGCAATACAACTAAACCTTCAAGATCTTGTACAACAAACGTATTGGAAGATAATTTGTCGCCGAGTTCCAGTCAAAGCCAAGAACATGAACCACAAAATCTTCCTGATATAGGAAAAGAATATAGACACGTTTTGCTTAACGTTGGACCAGCGTACCAAAGTGATACGTCAGGAAATTTAAAATCAATGGGAGTAGAAGTGAGTAACTCCAGAGGTGTCCTGTATCCTCACGTGCATTCAAAGCTTTTTGCCATGTACAATGCTGGCTACAACGTGAACTATCTACCTCCAGTGCATTCTACATATATTCATGGTTTGGTCCCTGAAGAAGATCTACAAAAAGCTAATTATGAATTGGACGTGTTAACTTCCCAAAATGCGATGTTCACGCCGGAGCAAATCAGAATGACAAGGATGATTCATTCGCAAGATGAGGAAATTTTAGCTCAGTTGCAACATGACGCAATAATGAAAAATATATTGCCCATGATGCCCGTTCCGTCGGCTCGGTTGGCCGCGGCGTCTACGAGTCCCTCTTCTACATATTCGTACGATTCTGCACCGGCTATAGCAGTGTTCCCATATGGAGCTGGAGGTGGCTGCGCTCAACCCATCCTGCTAAGTTGTAGTCCAAAAATTACCTCAGGTACTTTGCAGCCACTGGCTCCAATTAAGAGTGCAGTTGCCACCTCACCAATAGCGTCATCAGCTTACAGGCAGCCAGCGACGGACCATGAGAGTAAAAGTGACCATAAACAAAGTTCTCCGGGCAAAGTGAATTTAAGCTCTTAAATAAGCCTTAATTATACTTATTATGTCTATATAAAATAATCTTACCAGTGAAAATAAATACAATTGAAATATCTTTGTGAGTGTTATTCTATTAATAAGTTTGTCCTTGTAACATATTTGGTTATAAAGTAAAATTATTATTAGATAGGTACCTATTAATAGACAAAATAAATAAAAGTGGAAATTGGAAAGGTTTTTTAATGGGTTAATGGTTTCTATGAATGTGTATGTGTAATGTACGTATATAATATAATATATACGTACGTATGTGTATGTATACATATATATAATATAATATAAGGAAAATATATAAGAAACGTAGGTAATATTAAATTATGTGCTTCGTTTTCTTGTCACAATTATTACAATATAAATACAGAAATGAGAACACATAATTTGTAACACGACGTAAAGGCAAGGTATCGAGTTATTTTATTAGGTTTTCGCGATTGCTACGCATTGGAAATAAATCTATTATTCCGTTATTAACATGTTTCTTTTTATTTCTATTCGCTTTTTAATTACTAAATGTAATTTAGTAAAAATACATTTTTTATACTATTTTGCAAACCGTACGTAATGTAATCTGGAATGTTTTTTTTTCTATTTCAATTAATAACTTTTAACTATAGTGAACTAGGTGGTTTACACTTTTTTTTTATGGCACCAAGTGACGGGACGGACATGTCGTGCGCCTGGTGCTAAGCGACACGCCTGTCCATAGCAATTGTAGTCACACTCAGAGCTTTAAGTCACAAAGATCTGAGGGGCACTGTCACTATGCCAGTCACCCTGAGACATAAGTTGATGAGTTCCATGTGCATGTATTATTTATATTTATATTATTTCACCAGCGCCCTTACCCTTCAAAACCGGAACGCAGTAATGCTCACATTACAGTAGAAATAGGTAAGTAGTAAGTAGGTAGTACTTTACTGGACGAACAGTCTTACAAGGAGCTATACTGATGTTAAACTGAGCCCTTTTAAGGGCCCGAAACATTAATAATAATAATAATTCACATACTCAACATAGCCTTAGAGGAACCCTGCGTCGCGGGTGCCACGGACACACACATAGACGACCACAAATTACACCCAAAGTCACGAGAGAAATAAATGAAGGCCATGCAAATATTTCTCCCAGCCCGGGAATCGAACCTGGGACCTCTGCATGGCAGTCCGGTGTGGTAACCGTTTCGCCACTGAGGCAGTTAATTAATTTTTTTTCAACCATTGATTTGTTTCAAAAAATAAAAAACAAATATGTGTGATTTAGATCCGAAAAATAGTTTCATTTCCAATGAGTAAGATAAAATATCTTCTCTTCCAGTGACCGATAAATGTCCACCAGGCCACATGTTAGGCATCAACCTTCAATGCATCAAGAGACGCAAACCTATTGATATCACCAGCACCGGATGGGCAGAATACAAGGAATTCGATGAAGTATCCTTTAATTTGGAATCCAAGAAGATTAAATTAAATGGTGGATCAACAATTAACAGCACCTCTATAAGTAACGAGACTACTCACGATCATGATAACAACTCTGAAAATGGATCGGTATCGCAGGAGAGGAAAAGGTATCTTTAAAAGGTATTTTTCAAGCTACATAAGGCCCACTATAAGTTTCCGGAACTGGCACTTACATAAACAATATTTAAAAATTAATCACAACATTTGAAAATAGAACTCTTTGGCTGTAGAATACAGTTTGTTTTATCTGACTGTTATTTGTTTTTAACCGACTTCAAAAAAGGAGAGGTTCTCAATTCGACTTTATGTATGTTTTTTTGTGTGTAAGTTACGCGAGAACACCGGTATTTGTGAACCGATTTTCATGATTCTTTTTTTCTTGGAAAGGGGGTAATTCCATAGTGATCCCATTTCATTTTGAAGAAAATCCTTCACCTCGAATGGTGGCTGTTCACGCATGAAGATTCATTTTTATTAATAGCGCCTAAATTTTACTAAGGAGCAATTATTTTAATGGTTGATGTTTCTCCAATTCAAGGCGTTTTTCTCTTCATATACTTTGAGTAGTGAGAACCGATTTTTGTTATCTCCAATGTCAAGTCCTGTATAGTGGCGAATTTAAGGATATTTCAATAAAACTTAGCAAATAGACGTAATTCAACGTACTTTTGAGGTCGGTTTTTTTAGTACTCTGTACTGAGGTTATTATATTGTGGCGTCATTTTAGAAATTGGTTGTCTACATCACCATGGATTTAACTCGTGAACATTTTCGTAGTCTGATTTTCTACGACTTTAAGTGTAATTTTACAGCTCAGCGGAGCTTTGCTCGGCTACAAACAGCTTTTGGCGATGAAGCACCTTGCAAGACACCTATTTACAGCTGGCTTGCAGAATTCAAACGCGGTCGTGTGAATCTCAGTGACGAATTTCGTGATGGTCGCCTGTCCACTGCTTTGAACAACAAATACATCGATGCTGTGCGCCGTATGATCAAATAAGACAGGCATGTGACATACCATGAGATTCGGACATCTTTTGGCATAGGCATGAGTCAAATACAATCAATACTACACAAACATTTGGGTGTGAAAAAGGTGTGCTCTCGGTGGATCCCACACAATTTGACTGAGGCTCAAAAAACGGATCGCGATGCTTACTAGATTCAACGAAGGCGCGTCAAATTTGGTGTGGGATATAATAACAGTTGATGAAATATGGATTTATAGTTACGATCCTAAAACAAAGCAGCAATCGAGCGTATGGGTCTTTCGAGATGAGCCGAAACCAACCAAAGTGGCGCCGGCCAAAGTGCCTCTAAGCGGATGATCGCTTCTTCTTTTAATAAAACTGGGCACGTGGCTACTGTTGCTTTGGAGAATCGTTGTAACGTGAATAGGGATTGATACACGACCATTTTCTTGCCGGAAGTTATTAACTAACTCCGTAAAAATAACCGTAAACGCAGTGTCATCTTGCATCACGATAATGCCAGTTCTCACACGGCCATACAGACAAATGAATTTTTGAAGGTGAACAACGTTTACCTTATGAGCCAGACTTTTATTTATTTCCCAAAATTAAGAACCAGTTACGCGGTCAACGATTTTCATCACCTGAAGAGGCTGTCGACGGGTATGAAAAATATGTTTTAGAGATTGTCACGGAGGTGTGGCGTAAATGTTTTAAAAATTGGTTCATACGTATGAAAAACTGCATTAACGCTTACGAGGAATATTTTGAAAAACAATAAATTCATTTCTCTCCATTTATAGTATTTTTTTCTAATTCATTACGGAAAGTTATAGTGCGCCTCACGTATATCTACAAATAAGTAATATAGACTGAATCTTAATTCTTGTAGAGCAGTGGTGAAAATAGCATTATATGACAAAATGCCCATTGGCATTTTTAAGAAATATGTGAAGTACAGTTCTAACACATACTTAAAAAGAAATAGTATACATATATATATTATATTTATTTTTAATATAATATATTATATTTATTTTTAAGTACGTGGTTCGTAGAACAGTGATTCACATATTTCTTGAACATGCCAATAGGCATTGTGCCATAAAATGCTATTTTCACCATATATAATACATTTTTTTTGTGGTGTTGTGCACGTAAGTCCGTTCTTTTAATTATAGTGTCCTGTATTTAGGTCTGCATGTAGAAAATTTCTGTTGTGAAAACAAGAAGAACCTTCTGTTTGTATTTTCCTTGTATTAATTGTGACTTTTTGTATTTTTCCTGTACAATAAACTATTAAATAAAAAATAAATTAATACAAATCATCACGCCTGTCTTCCACCGGGGTAGGCAGAGACTAAGGACCTCCACCTGCTACGCTCCTGGTAAACCTTCGCGTCCTCCACTCCCATCAGTCTCTTCATACATATCCGTTTATTCTTGATGTTTTTAACCCGGCCATTTTTAAGGATATCCCCAATTTGACTAAGATATGTACGCCGAGGTCTACCTTTTCTCATGTAATATAAATTTGTGCCGTCAATCTACCAACATTCATTGTTTCTACTGACCAAACCCCCATCTTTATAGAGGGGGATGCTCCTGTTCTTCATACGAAACGATTACGGTCAAATAAGTAACACTCGACCAAATCAAAAGACAATGTGACGCATGAAGTTTCATTCGCATCATGCATCTTTTAATTTGGTCGAATATCTTATTTGACAGTAATTGTTTCGGACGAATGTCGGACGAAGAACGAAAGTAGACCCCTGTCGCCTACCATAACCATTCCAAAAACATTCTTATTTCTATGTAAGCTTAATGTAAGCGTATTGTAGGTAATATTACTCATATTCGTATCATGACGAACCTGTCAATCAAGTAATGTATTATTGCAAAAGTGATTGAAAGAACGAATGATTTCCCAATGTTGTCTATTCCTTACCAAAAATAGGAAAGAGATGTCGCTATGTGGATCATCTAATCTCCAAATCAATCCATCTCTTTCTTTTTTGATGTTCCGAATCGTCTTATCGTAGTATAATGTTTAAGTGCTTAATGTTAGGAAATGAAACTATTTTTCCGGATTTAAATCGCGTATATTTGTTTTTTCAAACAAACCGACGTTTCGGGTCCTTTACAGGTCCGATGGTCACGGTTGACTGACCTGTAAAGGGCCCGAAACGTCGGTTTGTTTGAAAAAACAAATATACGCGATTTACATCCGGAAAAATAGTTTTATTTCCTATGTGTAACAATCGCGAAAACCTAAGAACTCGATACTTAATGTTATTTACATTCAGAAAATTTTGACTAATAAGAAAAGTATGTAATAATAAAATCCATTAAAATTACGTTGTTTTCAATAATTATTCCATATTTACATGAAGAAAAATAATAAAACAAGCTGAGTCTTGATAGTCACGTTGTGAATTCGGAACTATAGTCTAGTGTCAACTGTTAGTTTCGCCAAGGAGCATATAGGTGGCGCTGTTATAATTTTACGAAATAAACATCGCGTATTTTTATATAACGAAAATATTTATTGCTGTGTGCTATTAAATAAAAAATAAACAAAATATTGAAGAGATATATTTTATGTAAATAAATAAGTTTAACTTAACTTTTAATCATTTCAAATCAATATTAAGACAATACAACTGAAAATAATATTGTTTCCATTGCATCCGTGTAACTATTTTAAGATTGCTAAATTTGACATAAGAGCAAAATTACTTTAATGTTAAAGTCACATCATAGTACAAACTGAGTGAATGAATAGTCACAAAGCTGCCAATAAAACATTATAGTTTTAACATTACAATAAGCTTACGAAAAATCAATGTAAGGTTAAAGTAATATTATTTTAAGAGGTTGTGGTAGGCCCCCTGATCACTACTTCATCTTTCATATCACAACGCTCTCTTGCTACACTGTCGGCATTCTGTCTTTAAGACTAATGCGCACATAATGCGCAAAGTTCTCGTATGTACAGCATGTTTTTTCTGCCACACCCAACACTCACTACCAATAGTACCAATTAGGGTAGGGAACAGCATGTCTCGATAAACAGCCAACCGCGTCTGTCTTGTGACAATCTGGCTACCCAGTAAAGTAAAAAGAAATAGAATTGTATTGCTTTTGTTCTATCTATCTATTGTTTCTGTACACGTACTAACATAAATATTTAAGTATAATTGTTTTAACACTAAATGGATCCATGTTACTTAAGTAAAATTGTATTAATTAGATATTATTAAAATACGTACTTAGATACGAGTATGTGTTTATCACTTAGTACTGTACGTCCTTCAAAAGGTATTTACTGCTTGCTCTATATAAATTAAAGAACTTTATATAATTTATATCTTGTTTCTTTTTCAGAAATAGCTAATATTAATGTATCCAATTATTATAAAGATTAATTACCTAGCCACGTTTTAACTTATACATCGTCGCCTATTGCCTAAAAACCTCGCATACGCGTTTTCACATAGGTAGTTCGTTTTTACTGATTTTTCTTGAAGAAAAACTTATAAACTTCTCGCCCAAATATATTATTAAAGTATTAAAGTATCTGAAAAGAGGTACAATTCAACTAATTAAAATGTTAACTACAAACATTATTGCGTTTACTATATTTTGTACCAATCTTAGTCTTGAAAAAATACTTACAAAACACATACAAGGTTTTCACTCTAAGTCGACGATATACATATTTATATGTTTATTATGATATATATATTTATATGTTTCAATTACATAAGAAACCTAGTGACTAAATCTCAAAATATTGAGTTCTAAAAGTACTGTTTATTCTTTATCAAACGAGTAGTATGGTAGGCACGTGTGTCAATACAGCGATATATCTAATGTCTGTATATGTTAAAGTAGGTTGTACTTAGCGAATTTACAATGAGACTGACGAACTGGTATTTAGAATACTCGTCTTCAATTACTTCCGATTCTTAGTCTCGTGTTACCCTGTTTGATACATAAAGGTAAATGTAAATAATGGATGGAAAGGCTGGAACTGGGCGGCACAGGACCGGGAGAGTTGGCGTGCTCAGGCTTATCCATCAGTGAATGCGTGTAAACAGATGATGAAATAATGTGCCAAACAATGACACCAATTACCAGGTCTCAAACTAAGGAATTCTTTGTATTATGAGTACCAGAACAATGGAATTCAATCTGGAGCACTAACCAGAACACTCAGACCAAAACTTAGCCCTCCTGTGAATCGAACCTCCTCATATAGCGTCCACAAAGTCAACTGCCGGGCCCTCGAGGTCGTCATACAACTTGACAAATCCTGTCAAACAAATTTGTTTTATGATACCAAGTGACGGGACGAACAAGTCGTGCGCCTGGTGTTAAGCGACACGCATGTCCATAGCAGTTGCAGTGTCACTCGGAGCTTTAAACCACATAAATCTGTTGAGAAGTTCTATGTACCTGTAATTTCACCAGCACCGTAGTTATAAAAAAAACTTGTTAAAAATAATATGTGTCAGACAACCACACCGATTGCCCAGGCAATTAATTACCAGTATCAAACTAGGGCACTCCGTGTACTATGAGTACCAGAGCAACGGAATTCTGGGGCACTTCCCAGAACACCCAGACTGGAGCCAATTTAGAAAAGTTCTACAAATAAAAGAATAATCTAAAGAATCGTGTCCGGGACTTCCACATCCAGCGTCTACAATTAAAACTGTTACGCCATCGAGGTCCTCATCATCATCATAATCAGCTTACACGTATCCACTGCTTGACATTAGCCTCCCCTTGAGCACGCCAACTCTCCCGGGCTTGTGCCATCGAGGTCCTCAATGAACGCAAATTGTGCTCATATTACCGCTTGGCGACAGAACATCCTTGGACGAACTCTTTCACAAGGAGCTCTACTGCTATTTAAAAAACCTTTACAAGTACACAAGCTTCATTTCTGCATTCCATTCACGTATGATTATCCCTGCACCAAGAGTACCAGAGCAATAGAATTCATTCTGCATCATTACCCAAAACACCCTGACCAGAACCAATTCAGAAAAGTTTTATCTCCCGAATTGGTCTTACCGGGCGCTCACATTGCACTCTCAATAAGGAAAATAGATAAATCCATCCACGAGCGGTACTTGCATAACGTCAAATGCTTTTTCTCCGATTTGCGCATTTGTAACCAGCGTTAGTCAAACAAGCACTTATCTCTTAAAATACTTAGTAATCCGTAAAGGCCTACGTGATATAAATTTTTTTGTGGTAAGTAGTACGGCCGGCCTTACTAAACTCTTTGAATATTTTTAGGTATCATACGGAAAAGTTGTCTAGAATCATCACGGAAGATGCTCATTCTGTTTTCATTCATCATTCAAGTTCGTAATAATTACCTACTAATCATAAGTAATAGGTATTCTAGCAAAACCTAAGATAAGAGACAACGTCAAGTTTCCTGTAAGTTTGTATCTTTGACGTCATGCGTCAGTAGGAAGTGTATACAGAGGGGATCGTTTATTTGTATGTCAACTTTGCGGCTATGGGGAGTTGCGTGTGCGTCATTCGTCATTTACGCACAAAATTTGAAAAGACGTATTTGAAAATACTTATTCTGTATTATTGACTGATTAATGTAGTTAAATTAAATTGCACCAAATTCCATACATGTAATTAAAAAATACAAAATTTGGGCTTTTGTGATTATTTACTAAATATATTGCCACTTTTCACCGACATGACGTGGTACGAAACCCTGTTGTTACTAAAGAAAATATGATTTGAAAGAATACTCTTGTTACTAAAGAAAACATGATTTAAAAGTTCAAAAAACTTTTATATTTAAAAATGTAAATATTTTCGTTTATAAATGGATTAAATGTATTAGTGGATAACTAATTATTATGTTTAACTGAATTTAATCCCATTAATTGCAAAAAGATTCATTAAGCCTTTTTTTTAATTTTTAAACCAAGTATTCTCTCAATAATGTAATTTTTGAATTACGACACTATTTGCTTTCATGTTCGACTTATGAAAAAAAAAATAGATGTACATGATACAGGTTTACCTCCTGTGTCGTTTACGTTTTTCTTCTTACGTCTATAGTACGACAGTAAGGTACTTGGTACTTGGTGCAACGGGCTGATATGACAGTAAGGTAACTAATACTTGTTTCTTAAAAATAAAGTTGCGAGTGTACAAGAATATGGCAGTAAAAAGTACTTAAACCGCAGGTGGCATGGCAGCACTTTGGCCACCTAGTCTTGACGTCACACAGCTGATAACATTTCACATTTAAAAGGGCTACCCGATCAATACGAGCATCAAAGCTAACGAAGATATTTGGCCAAGTACACGAACTTCTTTTGATAATTTAAAAATGAAACTTTCAACTACGCTGTTTTTAATCCTGGTCATCGTGATGCTTGGACATGCGAGACATATTCGGTCAAGGCATTTTGCAAGAAATATTGATCATCAACCCGAAAAGGAGACTGTACTTGCAGAGGAAACGCTTGTAAGTTATTTTATTATTATTTGGGTTTGCGTGACTGTGTACCAATTGAACAAGAGATTGAAGAATTCTTATGAGATACAAAAGCAAAACGCGTCTATGTATATATACATATATTCTAGATCTCATAGTAAATAAATATTAATGACCATATACATTAATGACCACAAACCAAGGGGTTTGCTCCCTATTATGCAGGACTATTAGTTAGAGAACAATTTATAAAGTAATTTTGTTATGATTATTTGAATTTGTTATATCATATTTATTTTTCTTTTCCGAAAATATTATTTCTGTAATGATAATCTGATAAAATATGTACACAATTGGTATGAAAAAAATCGTATATAGTAATCGGTTTGTTTGTTGATAAGATCGGTTATAACATCGCATCATCGTGTTCGCTTCTTGCCCGTATCGTAGTTTGATAAGCAAATGTTTATAAATAACTGTCAAAGTAGTATGACAAGAAAATCTTCAATTTATTTTACTTGTGATTAAAAGGAAATTTTTATTTTCAGTATGTGCCTCTACTAACGAGAATAAAGCAGAATGGTCTGGTTCCTGTCAACAACGTTCTGTTCTTCCAGACCTATGATCCCTGCCCTGACGAAATGAAGAGAGACATCCTCGGTATATGTCGGGAGGTCTGGACTGACTAACCATTTATTTATACGGTTTCATCGCTGCACTAGGTTCCTTCGCGTTTGGATACCACTTTCCACTTAACATCAGGTGGAGTGGAGTCATTTGCCCGTCATGTATAAAAAAAAAAAAAAAAATACGTATTAGGCACCTTTAACTAGTTCCAAAGATGTGATATTAGTATTAAGTTTTCAATTTGTTTACATCACGATGTTATGACATTGATATGGAATAATAAAACTAAAAACCAGTTTATATTTCTAGATGTACAGTAATTTAAACATAAAACAATAAATATTTAAATATGATGTAATAAAAACCACTGAAATTTAATTTATACACCAACACTTTACACAAACATGGAAATAAAATATAAAACAACAATTAAACAAATGACATACAAAGTTTTTCATTAGACAATTTTTACATTGTTTTTACAAATTTTTTTTTTAGTGTTTCAAGTTTACTTTAAATAGTATAAAAAATTGTAAATATTACATGAGGCTTGCGGGTGGTAAAGTGACCGACCCATGTCCTGAGAGGGGTGATGGGAGGGGAGTCACTCCTCTGATCCAAGCTCCTCTCTCACAGCAAAATGATTCCACGTTACTTAGGGCTCGCATGTAGATTGTCGTTACACCTCCTAGATAGAAATAATGACAATGTATAAGATGTACCAGAACGTCACAGCACAAAATAAGATAACCTTTCAATTAAAAAGTCAATTCAAAATAAGGATTGTGTCAACCTACTTCCACATTGTCCTGCCTTCAGTGTGCAAAGACTGCTTCTTATAGATGGCCTACTGAAGAATTATTTTAAAGAAGAAGACATTCCTTGTCTCTACCCCCTATGACCGAAAATACCTGACAAAGAATATTATTCAAAAAAAAATCTTTGACACATACAATTTGAAAAATAAATGAAGGAATTGTTAAAGATTTGGCTTGATGAGTTTATTCCGATGCAGTAGGACTAATATTAAAAAAAAAACGATTCTGTGAAATGGTCGTCTGTAGGACTATTATCACTTGAAAATAAGGATTTTGTAACAATAATGAAAAGACTTCGCTTCGATTTCAAATGGCGATAAAAAATGGCTAAATCAGTGACGAATCGGTGTAACAAAGTCATAATAGACGATTTAGAAACAGGTGTCAAATCTTACCGGTTAGTAGGAAGAGTTGGGCATTTAAACGGAAAGTACTTAAAACACTTTGCGTTTTAATACAAGCACGTTTATAAATTTAGAAAAATAGAAAATTACATAAATCCTTCATAAAAAAACAACATAATTTAATTTATTATATTCGTTGATGGTTCGAGTTTACTCTTAACAGTGACAGCTTCACCAACCCGTAGTAACGTATAATGGAAAACTGACACTGGCGACGATCGCCATATTTTTATATTATTCTTATAAAACTAACACTGGCCCAAGCTTAGTGGTAGCCATTAAGAAAATAATAATAATTTACATTAATATATCAATTTAATAATACACCAGTACCAGTGCAGGTATAGTATGAAAAATTGAATTTTTAAAAAATATTAAATGCCACATGGCCACATGGTTTCCAACTTTCGATTAGGTAGGACCACATCCCTCGTTGAGTAGCGTCAGTTTAATAAAGTTAACAATTCACGGTGCGGTTTCCATCCGCGTCTGGCGGTTCTGCTAGACAGCGGTTTTATTTCAATACTCACGACTGTGCAAGTTTGTACACGTAGCCGCCGCAGTTGCGGGCACGAAACCGTTGCGATTGCGGAACGGACCGCGAAGTTAGTGGAAGTTAACCGCAAGTCGCGCGGTTCATTATAATTTGCAAAATGATGTAATGAAAACTGGACGATAGTTAGTTATTAAGTTATTTTTGGCTGATAGTGGAACCTCCGTGTTTATTTATACGTGAAAATTACCAATATTTATTGCGTATCATGACGTTTTACTACTATGATATTAATTTTTTTTGTGGAAATACTCGTACTCTTTATTCGATTTTTGTATGAATAATAAAAATAACTTGAGATACGGAGTGACAGGGAATAAGGAAGACATGCATCGAGTTTAATATTGAAACGATATCAGTTATCTGTTACTACCAGATATTTGCTCATTTCCGTAGGTTTTGTTTTGAATGTATAGTGCGAATATTTTCGTTGTTAAAGTTATTTATTTACCATTATTTAAACCAGAGATAAAACAATTCTTTGAAAATGATATCATGGCTACGTGGAACCGTAATCATTGTTTGTCTAGGTCGATGAGTGGTCATCAGTTTTCGTGTAAACTGCGCCGAACCTTGTAGACACGATAGCGCTCTAGTATCTTCACCACGTTTCATCCATCACATACATAGATTACAAAATAATGCTAATTCTGAATAACTTTTATGAATCAGCGGAAATTATTTATTCGTTTTACAACTAATAAAATTGAAAAATTGGATTATGAAATAACATGTCACACATTTCAGGGTAATTTTTAGTTTTTTGTGCCTAATTTAGGTGGCAATTTTTATTATTTAAATATTTTAGAATATTATCACGAAGTATTATTTAATATTCGTGTGTATTACTACACCTGAAATATTATTTTATATTTCACGATAATATACTTGAATAGGTAAATAATAAAAATTAGGTCGAGAAAACTAACTTGAAAATTACACTTGACATTCTCTCTTACCGATAATAATTAGCTGTGTGCCGAGATAAGCAAGCGCGTGTCCATGCCGAGGAATCGACATTTCTGTCTCCAGCTTCCAATCTCGGTCCTTCCAGTCCCACACGTCTATCGCGCCCACGCTGCTTGCTGTTTTATCCTATATCAGATAATTTATTAACATTATGGGGCAACCTGTCTGTAGTAGACGTAATGTTACCATTATCTTATTAGTCTAATAGCTATTTAAATATTTATACTTTATATTTAAACTCTTTATTTCATTGATCATTATTGAACATTAGCCCCATTAGAAAACCCATATATCAATCAAATACTTCATAAACTCCAAAGAGCTAAATGAAAATATTACATAACCAATGGAGTTAAGTCAAACATGTTTATTGCTCAATTAGATTCAGAAAAATATAACCCACATCCTGTCCAATTCTTGTAACTCTATCTACACTATATAAGTCGATAGAGTTACAAGAATTGGAGAGGAAGTGGGTTCTATTTTTCTGTGTCTAATGGAGCAATAAACTTTTTGACGTAACTTCACTTATGCCATTCTTCTATAAGGGGTGCGAATGTATACAAAGTCATTGCGGCACTACTTGTCGGTTCCGACAAGTAGTGTTGAAACCACTCAAAATTAAATATACAAAGACCAACGTGTGCCAATAACCGTACACTGAAGGGTTCCATCCGAACACACTCCATGAGAAAATGCTGTACATCCTCAGAAATTCCACACATTTCGCAATTCGGTGACTTCACCCTCCGCATTAAATACAAAATTTTTTTAGTGGAACGTGTCCGGAACGAAGCCTATGTGCGCTGCCAATTTGAGCCCTGCTTGATTTTAAGTGATCAAACGAAGGAACACGGGAGGTTCACACGGCATGGTCTTGTACCAGGTACCTTTTTCTCGGGACGTCGCGTCATATACAAAAAACTAACGAAACTTCTAACGAAAATGGAATTTGCCCCTATAGTTCGTGATCACTTCAGAGAAGTCAGACACAATATCAACCTCGGGCCCCTCTGAAGCAGTCGCAATGGCTAACCGGTCCGCCTCCTCATTCCCTAACAAGCCAATATGTGATGGCACCCACGGCAACCTCAAACATCTCACACTAGTCGTAACATTATTAATTGTCCTTTAGTTTAACGAGATGCGATAGTGTTATTAAAAACAAAATAAAAAGCTTCATAGAAAATGTTTTATACTTATTGAACTAAAATGTAGAATAGGTTATTTTTGACGCTTTGATTATGTGATTTTGACAAGGGTTTGCAAAGTAAAAATTGTTCATAAAACTGGTTCATATTAGTCGTTATTCATACTATCATGTCTTACAGTAAAAGATATTTATAAAATGTCACCCTGTATAATCAACTAAGATTGATTGAAAATTTAAATGCCAGAGTAGGTCAATGATGCCAGACAACCACACCAATAAATTGGTCTCAAGGGAATCCCTGTACTACCATGATTACCAGAGTATCGGAACTCTCTCCGGCACGCTACCCTGAACACCGAGACCATAAAATATGTAGAAAAATTCATTTACTCAAATTGATTGTACCGGGAATCAAACCCGGGACCTACTCATACAGTGTCCAGAGTACAATCCGTTGGGCCATCGAAGTCAATTAAAAAAAACAATTGTATAAAAATCTGATTTTAAAAGTAAGGATCGTTGAGTGAGGAGATGGCTATTACTAGCCCCACACAAATAAAGATACCTTTTCAGAGATTTTTCCAGCACCGCCAATGATGAACAGTTTGTCGTTCATTACAAAAAGCGATGAAAAGCATCTTGGGAAACGGAGGCTGTGAATTTCAGTCCACCTGCAAAAATTTAGATACATTTCAATCTATATAAACAAGTTACATAGAACTTTAAAAAGTCGATGATGAATCCATGACTACTTTAAATCAATAAAAAGGAAACTTTTTAAAGAAGAAGCTTTTTAGGATAGATATATATATATATATATATATTATATATATATATATATCCTAAAATATATAGTGTATATATATATAAATATATATATAGAAATATATATATATATATATATATAGGTGTATAACTATTATCGATATTCCTTTCCTTAATTTTTGTTTCTTTCTACTAATTTTGTTTTGCTTTTCTTGAATTACGATACTATGTGTATATATGTGTACTACATAAACGAAAACAAAAAAGGTTGTATTACGATAACAACGTTCGTTCATATGAACGAATCACTGGCTGCATATATCAGAACGCATAACCGAAATCAAACGATGAGTGAAGTCATACTTTTTTCCAACTAAACGTTCTAATTCATAATTCAACCTAATTTTAGCGACCCTGTAAATTGTCATTACATTACAACTTTAAGCTCTTTACTCATTCGTCTTCGAGTTGTAGCATTCAACAATCTTGCAAACGGGTCGTTTCTTCTCGCCAGTCATCCCTCCTGCCACCCAGATGTAGTCTCGGTACTTAACAGCCGCCAGTGCCATACGCGGCACGCTCATGGAACGGACCTCCTGCCATGACCCCGACTTGGGGTCGAATTTCTCTACTGAGCGAAGAACTCTACGGAAACAACGAGAACTTTCCAATGTGTGTTTAAAAATTCTTCTTTGGTTTCAAAAATAAAGGTTTCTTTGGTCGACACGTTGGCATTCGTGGGATTTTAGATAAAGTTGCAATCATATGCTAAGGTGCTGCAGGATTTATCTCATTGCAGTCTAAACCTTAGTGACATGAGATTGCAAAATGCTCGGTTCACAAGATTTATTGTAAAAAGAGGAAAGTTCAAAAGGGCCTATTTACTATATGATTTTAAAAGTAATTGATATATAATTTTAATAGTAATCGACGTGAACCTTCACAATAAGGAAATGAACAAAAATTTTTATAGCAGTGACCACGGATTGAACAAACGTAAGAATAGTGAAGGAAAGGAGAATTCGAGAACGATTCAAAATTTTAAAACTAAGTGGCCGAAAAGAGAATGATAAAAAGGTGGGATGAAGGAAGTCATGGTCAGCATTGTCACACCATATAGTACCTTGTTATGACACCCGTGACGAGTGGAAAGTATCGGTCCTATTAATAATGGCGAATTGCACTGCCAATTAAACATTGTAAGCAAAAAAATGTGAAGTATGCAGTATGTCATGTGTATGATATTACGTGCTTACGTATGGTTAGGCATTACGTGATCGTAATTGCTTACAAGTTACTTAGTTCCTTAAATTGCTTTTATCACGTTTATTTTATATTCTTGCATAGTATAGTATTTTATGTTGCGCAGTAGATTAATTAAGCTTACAAATATTTTACCTTCCTTTCTTATCCTGTCCCCCAATGGCATATAAAGCCATACGATGTACAACAAGGCCAAAATTCTTCCTCGGCACAGCGAGTCCATTTTCGCTGAACCAGGACTTGGTAACTGGTTCGTAACTCCACACAGTAGATACCACTACCGACTTGCCTCGAATGTCATCCTCTCGGGGGTCTGCACCACCTGATAATGTTTGAAGAAAGAAGATGTTGGACGTAAATTGAACCATTTCAAGTATTTTCACCATCAACCTACTTATACATCCCACTGCTGGGCCTTCTCTCTCAGGCGAGGGTTTAGGTCATAATCCGATACATTGGTCTAACGCGGGTTTGAGGACTTAACACGTTTTCCGAGGTTTGAAAACCACCTTCGTCGTGTAGGTTTCATTACATTTTTTCCTCTACCGAAAAGTTCATGGTAAATTTCACACGTAAATTCCAAAAAACTCAGAGGTGTCAGCAAGCATTCGAACACATGGCCTCTACTTGAGAGGCGGAAGGTCAAACCATTAGGCTACCGCGGTAATTTTGTTTCATGCATTTTGCAACCTTCTAATTGAGTTCTAGGCTTTTGCGATTGCTATACATTGGAAATTAAACTATTTTCTTTCTTATTCTTTACCTGAAACGTTTATTTGTTTGAATAACAAATATACGCGATTAACACCCGAAAAATAGTTTCAATTCCAATACTAATAATTACAGGGTTATAAGTTATACTCCAATACCAATAATCTCCCAGGTGTAGGTCTATCACTAACATCATGAACAATTTTGTTCCATGACTTTTAATAATTCTTCAAGGTTTCACTTATATAAATACGAATAGATCGCTCTAAATGGTGATAACTCTGTGCGCTAGCGAAAGAAAGCTCCTATCACCAAAACTATTTACATGAATGACGGCACGCGGAGGTGTTTCAAAAATTCAGATCTAAATATTGTTAAACAGTTCAACAAAAATGTAAAAGTTTATTTTTGGTAAATTTATTACGTTTTATTATTATTATTATTAGTATTTTACAAATAACCTCGTATAAATGTTTTTTAACAGTACAGAGGTTTATGTGTGTTTGTAATGTAAATGTAACCCAGGATTGATACACTTCACTGCACTATCTAATAAAATATAAATGTGTATTTAGATGTAGATGTAATGTAGATTTTGAAATTATCCAGATTATCTTTCAGGAAATACAGAACCCGGCAGAGAGTTCGTGTATTTAGCTATACGTTTAATAAATAAAGAAGCAAAACGCTTCTCGCGAATTGGCAGAATATCAACTGTTTATGGGTTAAAATCAAAGACTTAAAAAGTAACTTTAATATCATTCTCATAACTCTCCATCAGATGTCTATCTAAATATGCACTAATATCTAATGCTATGAAATTTGTTAAATGTGTTTTTGTAATTAGTTAAAATAGATATTCATTTACCGACTAGGTAAACCCTTCCGCGTAGAAAAGCAACTGAATGGTGGTGTCTAGGTTCTGGTAAATCTCCCACATACTCCCACACATTCAATACCGGATCAAACCTGCAATTATCAATTAGCTCTAAACCTTGTACCGGATACGTCTTACTCCTAGTCCTTAACCTAAATGGTGGTAGTAAATGAAACTAGGAGAACTAAACAAAATATATTACATAAAAAAAGTTACGTGACATAATTAAAAAATTTAGAATTTAAGGAAATACTCTGTGGCCCGTAGAATTTGCTTGTTCATATCACCATACATTTGGAAGCAGAGACAATCTTGCCAATCGTTGTTGTTGACGCAAATCTATGCTTTCAATAAATACATGAAAATATACTTTATTTCAGTATTTATAAAAACGTTTATTTCTTACAATAAATAGGTATAATCTTTTGCGCACACGGGTTACTATAACAAGCAAAAATATTTGCAAGCATTTGACCACAATCTCAGTTAGCAGGTGACGATGGAATATACATACAGGTAGAGGCTGGCTAATGAAAGATGAGGCTGGAGAAACGCAGGAAATAAAAAAATAAATCGTATGGCATCACAGGCCTAACTAATTTTGACACTCAAATGATCTTTATTTCATAGGCAAGCAAATTATACTTGAAATAGTCATATTGATTGAGCTCTACTGCTCATTCGTAAGCCAGGCTCCCCTGAGAAGAATGAGCAAGAAAGTCTAGTGATTGCTCTTTGTAAATATATACATTTCTATACATTTATTTGAAATAACAATATTTATTTGAAACATCGATCGAGACTAACTGTAAGAGTTAAACTAAACGAATTATGAATACATACATTTTTTTACAGATCAATTAATAAAATAATATTTATATGATCATAATTTAGGCGTGCAAGTCCCAACAGATACATATTTTTAATTTCAATAATTGAAGTTCTTTTATTTGTTTTCTACATAAATAATAATATTTAGAACAAAAAAAGTGACTTTTATTTTCCATATTTACAGGTTAAGACCATATTTCTACTCGAAACTTGCAATAATCCATATTTTCAATATTACTTGATATTTTGTTCAATGAAAAAAAATAAAGGTATTAATACAAAAAATAAATTAACAGTGTACTGTGCGGAAGATTAGAAGACAACCTTGACGTGACTGACTTGCGAACTTGTGCAAATTTAAGTTTGCCCCAGTCACATCTTGTGACGTCGAAAGGTCATTCAGGCAGTACAAAACGTTGTTCCAAACAGACAAGATTTTAATTTTTTAAATTTAAAAAACCATGTAATTGTGTATTGTAACAATAATAGTAACGAAAATGAAATTGAAGTAAAATAAAATTTGTTAATTTTTTTTATTATAAAACCTATTCCATGTGGAAACAGTTTTTTATCTTCATATTTTAAATTTTTTTGCCTATATTATATGTACATATTTTGTACTTTATACTGCATATTTATCCGAGCCCTAGTAATGAGATCATTTAGTAAAAAATAAAAAGGACAAAGGCCAATTCTATGTATATATGTATACACACACACACACACACACACACACACACACGCGCCCACACACACACACACACACACACACACACACACACACACACACACACACACACACACACACACACACACACACACAGATACACACAGACGCACACGCAGGTGCACACGCAGACGCACACGCAGACGCACACGTAGACGCACACGCAGGCGCACACGCAGACGCACACGCAGACGCACACGCAGACGCACACGCAGACGCACACGCAGACGCACACGCAGACGCACACGCATACGCACACGCAGACTCACACGCAGACGCACACGAAGACGCACACGCAGACGCACGGACGTACGGACGCACGCACGCACGCACGCACGCACACACGCACGCACGCACACACGCACGCACGCACGCAAGCACGCACGCACGCACGCGCGCTCGCACGCGCACACACGCGCACACGCACACACACAAAATAATATAAAAATCAACCTCAAAGGATGAATCGGAACTGCTGCTTTCATTTTCTTGTATTATTATTACCATACCATACCATATATTCCATTACCTCAGTACCTAATTCTTTCGTGTCTTGTGAATAGAATTTAAAAAAAACTTAGTCTCATCTTTTATTAGCCACACTATACACACACAGAAGGTGCCTTTAGTACTCGTCTTTAGCATGACAAGGTCATTATTGCAATTAATTAATTTCAACTTAACAATAAAATATTTTTATAATTTTACATAATGACTTCGTCTGGCAAAGGCGCCGTTGATGGTTTTATGTTTAACAAAAATGATGATGTTACAATTATTATTATTATAATTTATCGTAAATAGTAAGTTCTTGCTACCATTTTTTTGTGCAAATAATCCTCTGGTTTTTAATTGTTATTGATATCAAGATCGAACGACACAAAAATTCCATCTAATAACTGTAAAGGTACCTGGCTGAGTGAAGGAAATTTCGTAACTTTCTTGCAGGTGGCACTTACGGAAACAAGCGTTTAGACCCAATGCAAAGATTTGCAATACGTATCCATAGTTTGTTTTTATTAAGACGGAGTAATAAAATGACAGTTGCACGGTTGCCAGTTTTCATAAAATTTTCAATAGTCCTGTAGTTGTTGTCGACAGATTTATCGATAGATAGTGAAAGAACGTAAAATTGTGCCAAGAACTTCTGATTTCTAATGATGACTAATTGCGCTATTGTCTCTTTTATTCTTATTTTGACAGTTGAACTACTAGTACCTTAAATCTTTATTGGTATACATTTTAATACTCCTCTTTGTATTTTTAACAGGCAGTTCTAAATGTAGTGTACGTATGTATGAACTTACAAAAACATGACATTTCAAATGAACCTGTGCCCAGCAGTTGCCGATGCCAGGCCGATTATGATTCGAACGAAACAAGTTTTGCTATGTATTGCATAAGCGTAACCAACATTCAGTCTATAATAGATAGAATATTTATCGACTGCAATCACTGCTACATAGGGCGCACTATAAGTTTCCGGAACTGGCCACTTACATAAACAATATTTAAAAAGTAATTACATTTGTAAATGGAACTCTTTGGCTGTAGAATACAGTTTGTTTCATCTGACTGTCACTTGTTTTTACATTGTAGCGTCATTTATCATTTCATCATTTAGAAAATGGTTGTCTCTACATGACCATGGATTTAACTCGTGAAAATTTTCGTAGTATGATTTTCTTCGAGTTTAAGTGTAATTTAACAGCTCAAGGGTGCTTCGCTCGGCTTCAAACTGCTTTTGGTGATGAAGCACCTTGAAAGACAACTATTTATAGCTGGTTTGCAGAATTCAAACGCGGTCGTGTAAATCTCAGTGATGAATTTCGTGATGTTCGCCCGTCCACTGCTGCTGTGTTTTGTGCTGTGTTGAACAACTGTGTTTGCCGGAAGTTATTGACAAACTCCGTAAAAATAACCGTAAACGCCGCATCATCTTGCACCACGATAACGCCGTTCTCACACGACCAGACAGACAAATGAATTTTTTGAAGGTGAACAACGTTGACCTTATGAGCCATCTCGCATACAGTCCCGACCTGGCATCTTGTCACTTTTATTTATTTCCAAAAATTAAGAACCAGTTACGCGGTCAATGATTTTCATCACCTAAAGATGCTGTCGAAGAGTATGAAAAATATGTTTTAGAGATTGTCACGGAGGAGCGGCATAAATGTTTTCAAAATTGGATCATTCGTATGAAAAAGTGCATTAACGCTAACGGAGAATATTTTGAGAAACAATAAATTCATTTCTGACCATTTATAGCATTTTTTTCTTATTCATTCCGGAAACATAGTGCGCCACACGTACGTATAAGCGGCACTTTTGCGTAATGAACCGTCATTTCACTCTATCTTTAAAAAAGACATGCTTATTGAAAAATTCGTAAGATGTGCTAACTCGGTCTGTAGCTCAATTGATAAGAGCGGTGGCGTAGGTGTGGCTTCGGACGCTGGTTCAAGTCCATTCAGAACGTAGGAATTTTTCTTCTTATTGATCGACCTTTGTGTTAATAATAAAAATGATGACATTCAGCAACTTCTATATTCGTGTTTGCAATCAGGTTTTGTGAAAATTAAGTTAGTTTTATTCTATCAGCATTTTTATTACTTTGTGTTTATTGTTAATTTGCATTACAATAAGAGCGCTACAGTTAGGACTTTTGTAACGATAACGAAAACCTGTAAATATCCTTTCCAGTATTCTTTCCAATGCCATAAGTAGTATGAGGGTCGATACCACCAAACACCAGTACTGTTTCCCTATCCCAGTTGAACAGCGATCCTTCGGTGATGTAGTTCTTATTAGACGGGCCGAGGATCGATGTTGATAGTTTATTCCTGAAATTAATATTTGTATATGAATGAATGATATTTATTTGCCGAAAATATGGTTCGCAAAACATGGTGCACATGTATAGTGACAGTTTTCATAGTTTACGAAAATTGGCACGCAAATCTTAAGTTTTCATACATTATAGAAATATTATAATTCTAAAGCAATTCGAAAATAGATTTATTAATTATACATATTATAAGTAATACTAAGTTATTGTCTTAATATGCTGATGTACTTATAAAATAAAAAAAGATAATAAATTAATGTGATGGTTAGGTACAATTTATTATGTAGTCAAATTTGAAGAGCTTTATATGGAAAGAAGTCCGTAATTTAGTTGATTTTTTTTGTCTCTCAACCATGACATCAGCTTCCATTTAAATAATGGTTATTATTTAAATCTTTTATATCACAGGGTAAAGTATTATATATTTTCACACACATGGCTTCAGATTCTCTCTGGTACAACCCTAATTTGTTACTTCTGTGAATAATTAATCTGTCTGGATATCTTACATTAATATTACGTCTCGCGTTCTTTTCAAAGTTTATAATTATTTTTCCAAAAATAGATACTTCAAAAATGTGCGTGTAAAGCAGCGGTACACTATTAAGAGTTTTAAATAAAGGTTTACATCATATTATCCGAAAGTGGTCCCTACCACACCAGTGGGCGTTGAAGAGTCTTAGGTAGGCAAGTAGGTAGGGGCCTCGGAAGCAATTGCAAGGTGTTGATGCTCTACAGGGCGTGCTACCGCATTTGAAAAAAAACCTGAATTATCTATTTAAACTGCAATACTTTTTTTTCCCCTCACTAGATCGGAAAGGTTTTCTTTCTCATTGTAAAAATCTGCGCGCAAAAGCGTCTTTTGCACGCTACCTTGTAAAATGTTTTTGACATTCGAACTTGACGATGCACCTAACTTTTTCTTTCGATGAAAAGAAAAGACAATGAAACGTTCAACTGTGCGATTTGTCGTACTTTACCTATTTATGTAATATAAATCCGTTGGTATATTTTATTTTTATCATTATTGACATTAAATTGACAATGATTACTAATTCGTCGAAGACCTAAAATAATTTCAATAAGTGATCACTTAATCACGCAAAATAAAAGTACAAGCAAGAATAAAAATTGGTTAGGTGTAAATTCAGAACGCATCCGAAGATAAACTTTTTCTTTTATTCAAAACTGATGTTCAACTGTTTTCCTTTCGTCTAACATTTTCCTCGCTATAATGAGGTGAAAAGTTGTGTGTTTCGCTCCGCAGCAAAGTTGTTTTGCGTGTCGTGACTTGAAAGCCTCACTCCGCTTAGGAATCTATTTTTGAATCTTCTTCGCTTACTTAGGTTTCAATACAAGCACTCGCGTCAAACAACAACTTTGCAGCCTTGCATAACAAATAACTATTTTCCTTGTCATTTTTTTGTGTTAAGTTAATATAAAAAATACGATATGGTGGTCGGTGATGACATTTTTTATCTTGCCTAAGTGGGCCAAAAAGTTTGGGATTTATTAGAAATTTTCGGTTCTAAGCCACATTATACATTTTATTTTGTATTAGTATCTAACTATCTAACTAACTATCAAAGTATAGATGCGACGTAGCCATGGTAGGCATCTAAAGTAGTAGACATAGCGGAAGTGGCAAGTAGTCTCCTTAGAATATAAACATAGCGATGTTAGACTATTTTAGTACTGTATCAATGAAGCATCCGTTCAAACTTTTGTGCCAGTTATAACATCCAGAAATTTACTTTACTTTTTGTAAAATTTGTCCATTGTAATTTATATTTAGTTTTAATTTTTTATTTTTTATTATTTATTGCACAGAAAACAGCACAGATTACATTTAATTAAAGGAAAAAGCAAACAAAAGGTACCTACTGCTTATTTTTGTGTCTAACCTCCCTAATTGAATGAAATTAATTAGTTTTGTTAAATTTCACTGTCAAATTATTATCTATTATTAATTTTTATTATTATTTATATAATTTTTATTAATTAATTTTCGACCAGGTTTGAGAAAATGAAATTATATATACTCACATGTTAATTCTGGCCAATGATTCCTTCGATTGGTTGAATAATGATATCTGTGGACTATTAAGTGTATGTTGTTGAACCACATGCCGGGACATTGGGTCTGTAATACGAGACGGGATCGTACATCTTGGCACCACTGTATCTTCCCGGTAAACGCTGGTTCTGTAATTGCAATATTCTAAATTTGAATAGGTACCCTTAACAAACCATTTCATTTAAAATTAGAATTCGTCATTCATTAAATAAAGAATATGTAATTAGTCTGGGCTACAATCTCACCTTCTGGGTCCTGACAGGGCTGCAGTAGCAGCAGCTAAGTATGAAGCTGCCACGCTGTGTCTATCACCAGGTTTCCTCTGATAATTCTGTAAATTCAAATGTTTTGTCTAAGACACTTCTTTAGCTTGTGAAGGAGGAAAAGATCCATATTGCAAATTTAAATTGAGCAGATCTATATATACAATTCTATTATCAGGGTTTTGTACTGTGTATGCGCTGTCTTCGGCGGTACAGCTTTCTTCTTCGCTGTTAGTGGTTATCATGTCTTCACTGGAGTCTTTTTCCGGCGGATCATGTGTTTGAGCTGTTCGTATGCCGCCAGTACCCCCTGGGCTAAGCTGCCTCTGTTGAAAATATATTAATAACATAATAACATTATGCCGTTTCTCAATAAGAATAAGTTTAAAACGTAATTATAACTTTTTTATAAAAATCCAATAAACTGGATTCATCCCCTAATTTGCCACTCTTGGAAGTAGAATATTTTCTTTTTTTATTTTTATTTTACTGATGTATGCCCTTTCCAACAAAAAGTATCATCGAAATCGGTTCACAAATGTCGGAGTAATTGCATAATATACGCACAAAAAATACAGTTGGATTGCGAACCTCTTTTTTTTAAATCGGTTAAACAAATAGAATGCCACCCATGAAAGTCACCCAAGTTTAGTTAAATAATTTCAAGACCTCATTTTGTAAATAAATGCAAGGTTGAACAAAAGAAATTAAAAATATAGTTACGTCAGTCTCTACAGTACACATTTGTATTTGATGTATTTGTTGGTGACGAATTTGTTGTAAGTTGTGTAACTTGTGCTTGGCGTTTTCTAATTGTATCCTGTTCTGTTCCTATGAAACATAAAATAGATCATTGGTATAAAAACACATGTTCGGATTTAGGCTATGTTCAGATGAACGCACATTACCACGTGTCGAACGCGGGGCGACGCGTTATTTCAGCGGTGGCTCACGTTTTTGAAGTATTTCTTCTAAACGCGGCGGCACAGATTACTTGATAGTTACGCGGCGGTACAAATCTGAACTTATCCTTAAGAGCGGTTACACACGACGACTTTTAGCACCGATGCAAATGCGATGCAGTAGCGATGCAGTCGCTAATCTCTCATCTACCTTTACATACATGCGCGACTTTAAGCAGCCGATGCAAACGCGCGACTGCGTCGTTACACTTGTGATTTATAAGCGATTGCATCAATACACACGCGCGTCTGCTTCGATGCAATCGGATTTGTAGCCATCATGAGAAAGAGAGCGGCATCCTTGATGCGCAGAGTGCGTGGCAGCGGTAACAGCATTGTGAGTATTATCGCTGGCAGGGTCCAGGGTTCGTTTTTTAAGAGTTTTTTGACCAAACTTCATGTGTACCCTAAACCCAGCATATATTTATAAGTCTGTAATTACTAACATTAATGTGTAAGTTTTTCTTTGTTATACTAACCAATATGGACGAAGAATTCGAAATAAAGCATTTTGAATTTGAATAAATCGCAAGTGTAGCGATGCAATAGTGTGTTTCACGAACGCCCGTTTGCATCGCTGCTAAAAATCGTCGTATGTAACCACTCTAAGCTTTTTAAAATGATTTATTATGTGATTTATGTAGCCCTTACTTCTTCTTACTTCAAATACAAAAATAATGATGATGATTAATCTTTTTAACGCGGTATGCTGCTCTGTTTATGGTAATATGAAAAACCACCTCACCTGTTCTAAACTGTCTTTATGCTTGATGTCGTCAAGCCGCCGTTGCTCTACTGCTACGTCAGGAGGATTTCGGCTCGGCGGAGGCGAATTAAATTGTACATTTTCTTTTACCTAAAACCATTATCAGAAGGTGTCTTTTATGTATCATTTTTACGAGAATTTTCTTGAGTCCTTAAAAAGTTTTATATTTAATTTCTCCAAAATGCTGACGGAACATATGTTTTCGAATCTAAATCGCGCATATTTGCTTTTCCTCTCAAACCAACGTTTCGGGCCCTTTATAGGTCCCACGGTGATGGCTGACTGAGATGGTAAAGTTATCAACCAGTTATGTTACAACTGCCTCCGTGGCCGAACGGTTACCATGCTGGACTGCCACGCAGAGGTCTAGGGTTCGATTCTCGGGCCGGGAGAAATATTTGTATGGCCTACATTTATTTCTCTCGTGAGTTTGTCATTTGTGATTGTCTATGTGTGTGTCCATGGCATCCGCGATACACAGTTTCCCTATTGCGGGGCTATGAGTGTGTTATTTTGATGTTGGATATTATAATTATTAATACAATGACTGAAAACAAAGTAACTAGTGTAATTTCATAAAACATACATAAAATACAATCAATATGTGTAATAGTAATGCAAATAACCCTATATTTGCATAAGTATGTTTTTATATATTTACCAGAATTTTTATATATAATAATAGTATGTCTCGGTATAATAGCATATATTTCACTATATTTGCATATGTATTGATTTGTTTGAAAAAAAAAAACAAATACGCGCGATTTAGACCCGAAAAAATACTTTCTTTTCCAATGTGTAACAAGCGCTAAAACCAAAGAACTCGATAATAACATAGTTAGTTGGGTGAAAGCAATTGTTTAAATTTTATTTTCATTATTAAGGCGCAAAATTTGAGCTCCGACATCGAATCTAATGGCACTAAATCTACATAAATCTAATGGCGGTGGTACTCAAACTAGGTATAAAAATAGTTTTACCTGTCTGCTGCTCTCGAAAAACTCGCTCATAATGGGAAATGATGCAGGGAAATTAGGTTTATCTGGTCCGGCTAGTCCTTTCAGAGTGTTGGGAAGAGGAATGTCAAGCTTCGGGAGCCGTCTGTCTTGCAGATCCAGATTGCGCAAGCCGCCTGATACGAATACAAGATTTAGTACGTTAACCCGTTTTTAATTTACCGCAGGCGTTGAAGGTAAAAGAAATAAAAAAAGTTCATTTTGAGAAAGTATAATATCAAATTTATTACAAATTTTTACAAATATATTATTGTACTGGTTATATTTTCATTTAACAACATTTTAGTTTAAATGATATACAAACCCTTAAATTCGTCTGGTTTGACAGATTTATTAACATTTTGTACGTTTTTACTGGTTGGTTTTGCACCTCCTTTACCTATAAACAGCTTAATGTTACTTACAGCTGATTATTTTGTAGTTAAAAAACGTACAACTCCGGACAAACAAAACGATAACTTTACCTTTTGTCTCGTCGCAGTCGCAACCTGTATCGTCATAAATAATAAATAGAATTAGTATTGAAACAAAACGCATTTCGTGATTTTACAAAAACTACATTTTTTACTTTAGTTAAAAGTAATTGTTGGTAAACATGTCTGAAAATATTCTATGTCAATGTGGTGAATTCAAATAAAATGCAAGTGTTTAATTTTGTTTGCTTAAGACTGTCATTGGACGCTAAATAAAAAAATATACGAGAAAATGAGTAACCACTCATTACCGTTTTCGTCTTTGATGGCAATACCTGCGTGATAAGAGTCAGTGGTTAATTATATAGATGAATTGGACATAGTTATGCAAACTAGAACCAACCCACAAAATGTCACTTTCGAGATAATTAGATTTTTGTAAAAAGTGTGATGAAATAAATAGGTAAGTTATTTGAGACAAATAACGTGAGTTATGTGTAGCATTGAGAATTATATGGGGAAACTATTATATTATATAGCAATAAATAGAAAACATTATGTATCTTTTTATTTAATTAAGTAGAACCATGTTCTAGTTTATGTAATGAAAACGCTAAAGATCTACAGTACTTCACTACATGTGACATGGATCCATTGAGCATATTTAAAAAATACATTATATGAAGTTAAGCAACATGGTTCTTTTTAGCTATTAAAATAGTAATTTTTGATACAAATGCGGAAAGTTAGTCATTATTCATGAGTTACGAGGCTTCTTGGTCCGAGCCAGAGGCGAGGGTCAATAATCGAAACAAGTGAAAATGGCAATTCTGCACGTATATCAAACGACGGTTTTTAATAAATTTGTGAAAAAACTACATTGAAAGTAAAATAAAACAGTATATTTTAGAGGCGCGGCGCGCAGCGGTCTCGCGGAATACTCACCTCCGGTCATTGTTAATACTCAATCAGCCATCTTTATGGAAAATATCTTGGTATTTTTAAATGTAACCCGTTGTTTTAAAAAACACCTATGCAATTTATACAAATAAGATGTTTGTAAGTAGATACAAGTTTTAATGACGAATGACTTACGTCACAAAGCACACAAATATTAAATAAATATACAACCTCTTTAGTTCTACATTTAAGACTTGAAACCACAGTAAATTTAAACAAAGTGGAAAAGTAAAAAGCACTAATGCGAAAAATACAACTTTCGACACGATTTGTAGTACGAAAAATACCATGTTTTGAGTAATTGTCTTAAAAAGTTACTTATTTAGGGTTGGTACCCTGAAGAACTTTTATTTCCTTCGTTTTGGCTTGGTATATTGCCAGGATCTTTTGTGAGCGGGAAAAGGACACGACGGGTGTTCTACCTAAATACATAACTCAATTTCACTCGAGGTGTCGGTTGGTTCTTGTTTGCATAACTATGTCCAATTAACGAGTACATAAATGCGGAGGAAACATGGCGTTTATAATAACGTCTCCAAAGAAGTACGCATTATAGCTAATAATAATGTATCTAGCCTATCGCCTTTTTTAACAGTGGAGACGAAGTGACAGCTTCAGCACTATTATCAATTAAGGTATACTGTGGTACGGTGGGTACGGGTCGAAAATGGGTTTCCAATGCCAGATACTTATTAAAAAAATGTTGATAAGTTGTACTTACTTTGTTCCTCAAAATTAGTACCTGCGCAATGGAAAAGATTTTTCATAATCATTGATAATATAATATTATTTTATTACAATATTCAAAATAAAATTAAGAAAATAAATAAAATTAAAAAATCGTACTTACGCAAAACATCATAAGCACTAGATAATTAATTAAAAAGCATTTTATTGAACAAAAAAAATCCGTAGTTTTATTAAATTCAATAATAAATGGTTTGGTACCTTTGGTGTAATGAGCCTACATATGCAAAATGAAAACTTTTCACGAAAGAGGTTTGAAGATTCGATACGAACGAAATTACTCGATTTGTTTGTGCTTATGCAGGAGAGTTTAAAAAATTCACATTTATGTATATATATAATTTGTTTCATATAGTTAATATTATTTTTATGACTTTGATGCACTAAAAGCACTTTTGGCTTTATTACATCAAGAGTACAGTTTAACTCTGTAGTGATTGGAAGAATTTCACAGTTTTAAATGCAAATTTGTTACTCGAGTTGGCAAAAGTAATTAGACAACAAAGAAAACTTGTCAGACTGTAATAGAAAACATGACTGATTTGGTGGGTTACTGTCAGATTCATATTTTGAATGTTTTTATAATAAAATCAGGCTGCAATTTGTGTACGATAATATTTGGAGCTTTAGATAAAAAATTCGTAGGATTTGTGTTGTTCTTTCTAAAGCATTTATTGTATTAACTCACTAGGTACATCATCGTTTCTCCGATGTGCTTGCATCATCATCATCTGCTGAAACATCTGGTCTTTTGGCACCATAAACTGCTCCAGGTATTTGAGGAATTCTTTGTACGTCACGTGATTCTGTAAAATATTTATTTATTATATTAAATATCAAATCAGTTCAGATCAGATCAGAAATAGGACTTTATTCATCAAACACACACATACATACACACACACACATACTTGGTACTTGGTGTAACGGGCTGGTGTCCGCAACTCGACGACAAGGCGCCTATTTTGCGTGTGGCACACACATATACATAGAAAAATCATACTATATTATCTACTAATAAATTATGAGTTATGAGTGATGAAAAGGATGAAGCCTCAGCATAGTGCTGCTTGTCAGTCTCCGCCTGTGTTCTCTGTCGGACATTGTCGGAACATAATTATGAGGAACAAGCGTGTGTGGAGATGGCTTTTGTGACTATACCTTCTCTTCGCCGATCCAGTTTCTCTCCGCAGGTTCTATTAAACCCAGGACGTCGATCCAGTGGTAATAGTTCTTAGAGTTGTTCCCATACCAGTATTTAATTATTACATATCTGGGAAAAATTTGACCATACAAGTTGTTTATAAATATTAATTTAGGAAAGTCAAAGTCAGTACTTGGGCTTTGCCTTAACTAAATTAATTATAGGAAATGAAACTATTTTTCCGGATTTAAATAGCGTACATTTGTTTTTTCAAATAAACCGACGTTTCGGGCCCTTTACAGGTCCCATGGTCACGGTTGACTGAGGTGGTAAAATCTTCAACCAGTTATGTCTAATATTAATGCAAACCACCCTATTTTTTCACTATAGTTACAATAGTTATTAATTAAATACCTTATTTTTAATTTTACAAAGAAAACATTCCAATTTACGCTACATTAAGTTATACAGAGTATTTTATTGAATGAATTTTTATTAAGTTTAATTTATTATTAATTATTAATAGAAATTAGAATAAACTAAGACATATTAATTAATACTGCAGTCTTATGTCTGTTTGGGATTTTTCATTAGAGGAAATACTGGATCGGTATAGCGATGGGCTCCCCGGTATCTCCCGTTGTTGCCGATATTTTCATGGAAGACTTCGAGGAGCGAGTTTTACCCATGGCCCCAGCTAGGGCGAAGATTTTCAAACGGTACGTTGGTGATACTTTCACAATATTACCTAAAGATAGCATACCTTCTTTCTTGGACCATCTTAATTCTTTTAGTACTAAGATCCAATTTACCATGGAACAAGAGAATTGTGGTACTTTAGCTTTCTTAGATGTTTTAATTAAAAGAAATCCTAATAACACCTTAGGCCATACTGTATTTCGAAAGAAAACCCATACAGATAGGTATCTGAATGGTAATTCCCATCACCATCCTAGCCTGTTAGCTACCGTGGGCAAATCTTTGTTTCAGAGAGCATATGGTGTCTGCGACAGTAATCATCTGCCAGGGGAACTTCAGCATATAAAGCAAGTTCTACATGCGAATAAGTTGAAGATTCCACGCCAATGCCGCAGGCCCCGTGTGAAACCACCAACAGTCGAGCGAAGACCTGCCATCTTACCTTATGTAAGAGTCCTCAGGCGTGCATCTATCAAGACCTATTTCAAGCCCCTGAGGAAGATGTCTCAGTTCCTGAGACCCGTGAAATGTAACATCCCTTTACAGGATGCAGGAGTTTACAAGCTTGACTGTGAGTGCGGTCTCTCTTATATTGGACAAACAAAGCGAAGTATTTGTATCCGCGTCAAAGAACATATAGCTGATGTCAAACACCGTCGCGTAAACAAGGCTACAGTCTGCGAGCATGTCATGGATAAACCTACACATTCAATGAAGTTTGACAAACCCCAGGTCCTTGCAAAAGAAGTCCGTTATCTACCCAGGATGCTGCGAGAGGCCATTGAAATTAAAAAACATCCTAATTTCAACAGGGAAGATGGATTCTCCGTACCACCAGTTTGGGATCCAGTATTTCCTCTAATGAAAAATCCCAAACAGACATAAGACTGCAGTACTAATTAATATGTTTTAGTTTATTCTAATTTCTATTAATAATTAATAATAAAAATTCATTCAATAAAATAATTTGTAAAACTTAATGTAGCGTAAATTGGAATGTTTTCTTTGTAAAATTAAAAATAAGGTATTTAATTAATAACTATTGTAACTATAGTGAAAAAATAGGGTGGTTTGCATTAATATTAGACATAACTGGTTGAAGACTGTACCACCTCAGTCAACCGTGACCATGGGACCTGTAAAGGGCCCGAAACGTCGGTTTGTTTGAAAAAACAAATATACGCGATTTAAATCCGGAAAAATAGTTTCATTTCCTATGTGTAACAATCGCGAAAACCTAAGAACTCGATAAATTAATTATATTATTATGTGAAATATTGTATTTATTATTATGTGAATACAAACAAAACACGTAACTTCTATGCCACGAAATATTGGAACGACATACCACCCTCAAATAAAATAGCAATCTGTTGTCTTCTTTATATCCACGACCTTTATGAAGGATGAGTTTTTGGTCGAAGAATTCGGTGGTAGGTTGCGTGACACCGGATTGCGCCACACGACGCCGGCCAAGTGCACTTCGTGTAGATTAGTTGTTTACTTTTTTATATATCAATACAAAATGCGATATTTCTCTCAGGAAGATCTATAAGTAGTTACATTTCATGTATTATACACGTACAAGTTCGGCAGTGAGAGCTGGAGTCTGTACTAGGTTGGGGACTTGTGTTCCAGATCACCAGGTGTATAAAGAACGTAAATAATTAAGAAAAAATACGTTCGTATTAGATAGTGTGTTCGTGTGTGCAAAATAGCTGCGCTTGAGTGAAATTAATTTTTATGCTATTAATTTTTCAGAACCCACCGGCAGCTTAGAGCGGTAATTAAAATTACAAAAGTTCTGCAAAAGCTGAACTATGTCCTATGCATTTTGATCGTGTAGATATGTTTTAATACGGAAGATTGTCGACATTTTAGCTACTAATAACAGTTAACATGGTAAATGTTGTTCATAACCGTTAAGTACTACAATTAATAATTTTATTCATAAGTGTTTGAACATACAGGTTGTGTTTTTTTATATGATATCAAGTGACGGGACGAATAAGTTGTGCGCCTGATGGTAAGCTACACGCCTGTCCATAACAGTTGCAGTGCCACTCAGAGCTTTAAATCGCAAAGATCTCAGGGGCACTGCCACTGCGCCCGTCACCCTTAGACATACGTTGACAAGTCCCATGTGTCAGTAATTTCACCAGCACCCTTACGTTCAAAACCGGAACACAGTAATTTTATTTTATTTTAACTTATTGGAAGTCCGACGGCTATCTTGCAGAGTAAAAATGAAATAATAATGGAGAGCCAATTATAGGTCCTCACCGATAGACACACATTCAAGCTAATGAGCATTAAATTATAAATAAATAATCTCAGTACAGAGTACTAAAACAATCGACCTCAAAAGTACGTGGAATTACGTTTTATTGAAATATCTCAATAGTTCGCCACTATACAGGACTTGACACAGGAAATAATAAAAATCGGTTCTCACTACTCAAAGTATATTGAGAGAGAAAAATGCCTTGAATTGGAGAATTGCAAAAACAACCCTTAACATAATTGCTCTTTAAGTAAAATTTAGCCGCTATTTATAAAAATGTATGTTCATGCGTGATCAGCCACCCTTAGAGGTTGATGATTTTCTTCAAAATGACAAGGGACCACTATGGAGGTGTCCTGTTTCCAACAAAAAAAGAATCATGAAAATCGGTTCACAAATACCGGAGTTATCGCGTAACATACATACAAAAAAACATAGTCGAATTGAGAACCTCCTCCTTTTTTCGAAGTCGGTTAATAACTACTAACTATACTATATAGGTAATTTTCGCATTCGCAACACTTAGTAAATACTTACTCGCCAAAAACACACTAATAAGTCGCTTCACCGATGCAACACTACTGTTAAAAAGGTCAATATAAACCTGCTTGGACCAATACATTGAAGCTATTACTCGCACGTAAGAGATATGCATTCCGCCGAAAATTCGAAAAGGCCAGAGGTGCTCACAAAAGTGAATTAAACCTAAGGGACTTTATAGGGACTCTAAGAGAAATCTTGGACAGGAATTCCGGGAGTCCACGGCACCAGAAGCAATTTTTCGCAAAAATACTAGGTCTGCTAGCTGACGTCGTACCTCTAGTGGCAAAAGATGATGTTTCTTACATATATCAAGACACCGGTTTGACTCGTACCGCTCCCTAGTTCGAAAACATAACTTAATAATTTTTTTTGCACATTTTCAATGCGCGATATGTAGGTAAGGTATTGGGGGCTCTAGATCTGCGATGCGTATTCCAGGTGGCTGCGGACAAATGAGCAATATCAAATTTTTAGTGTCTTAGCCTATCTGAAATCTCTGGAGTTACACATCACAAACCCGAGAGCTTTGGAGGTTTTTGAAATAATAGCGTCTACATGCGAAGCAAATAGCAACTTATGATCATGAAGCACACCAAGATCCCTTACCACAATATTACGTTGTAACTTAGTATCTTTCAATGAGTAGTTGAAATGCACTAATGCTGACATTACTGCTTGGTGGCAGAAAAAGGGAAGGTGGCAATATTTCCCTGGACGAATCCTTTCACAAGGAGCTCTACTGCTACTAGGAACGTGATAAGGTGGTGGTAGGTGTAAAGTTGATACTAACAAAATAAGTATAGTGTCACTATTTCCAATCAAACTTCATCATCATACGTCCGACTGCCGGGCACGGGTCTCCTCTCAGGCAAGGTTTTAGGTCACAGTCCGTCACTTCCGCCGACTTCACACGTTTTCGAAGGGTTGTGAACCTTCTTCAAGGTACAGGTTTCTTCACGATGTTTTTCGTCAACATTAAGGTCATGGTACATTTTAAATTAAATTTCACACATAAATAAATTCTGAGAAACTCGGAAGTCGGCCCGGATTCGAACCCACCGCCTCTATTGATTGACAAAACATAGAATGCAGCGCTACAGTAAAAGAAAATAGTCACGTATTTTTTGTATTAAAATATCATACGAGTTGACTGTACCCTTTCAGGTTGAGTTTTAGTGTATATTGTCTAAACTCACGCTAATCCATCGTCCACCAACTGCTGAATTTCGGGCTCGTTGACAATCTCGAGTATTTCAGCATTGTCTGGGTTCCTCTTGATGTCTACCAACTGCCACGGCGAGATAAGACCGAATCGCACGCACCGCATGATTTCCACTGCAAGAGACTTTCGAGCTGGCCAGTTTTCATAGAGCCACCGCACTCCCGCCATCAATACTTCTATCTCACTAATTGCAAATAAAATTCCATATCAGTTTAACTTGGTTGTCTACAAGTCGTGTGTTTGAAATGACTGTACGATGAAAGATGTGGCTTAATTAAAGGCATATTAAAGTTAATTAGGATGGCAAGAAAATAGTAGTACAATGGACAAGCTGCACAATTTTTTTTCTTTATCATTTATGAATTACTTTGATTGCTTACCTTGTCACGCAAATATAGTTGGACTTAAGAAAAATAGTCACTTCCTCTGCTTCTAGTTCTAGGAAGTCCTTTGATGCCACCAACGGGAGAAAGAATCTCATCACTCGAGGAACCTGAATCAGTTTTCGACTTGGTTTTATTTATTTTAGTATAATAAAGAATCAAAAACTTGCAATATTCATTTGATTGAATATCATGATATTTTTAGTAGTGTAAAAATACTCCACTAGGTTGCTAATATTAATGACACTAAGATCGAAAACACAAAAGAATCCTTAGATCTTACTGAACTCGAACCAGCGTCTGTTGCCTCACCGCGACAAAGTCCAAAACTTGTTAATAATTGTTACCCATCTGACATTATTTAAGTTAGTCCTATGACCGTTTTAACACATTCGCGCGAGGTACGTACTATGGCGATGTAGAACAACGTAACTACTATTACTTCGTTTAATGTCTTTTATTTTATCTAAGGAACAAAATCATAATAGTGACGTCATTGCTCTACAACATATCAAAATATTTCGAACTAAAAAGCGTTTAAGTGAAAAGCGTCTAAAAAAGCACTTACTACTTAAAAAGCTACAAAGTTTAAAAAAATAAGCAGTTTTTCCCATCTCTACCAATGATAGCTGGCATACACGCGCATCGTCAGCGTGTGGTTTATACACGACCACGTTTATTGACGTTAGTATCTTAATTGTACCAACATGGCTGTAGAAGAAACGTTATAAACGTATGCGTTAATGAAAAATAAAAATATCTGTCACAGCGTATCAATGGGCAAAGCACGATGATCACGCGAATGTGTTCATGAGGTGTCACAACAAAGGACTATCGAATCAGTTAACGAGCGTTACCAAGATGCTATTGCCACGCACATTGTGATGAATAAGGCATTCTTTCGCATTAGAGTAGGAAAGCTATCTGTGCACGTTGTATAATCTTTTTAAAAAGAAAACATAGTTTATTTGGTTTCCAAAATGACTCATACCATTAACTCCATTACTGGAGTCATCCCCTTTAACCGTGCTTGGCGAAACAATGCAAAAGCTGAATCTTCAGTAAACATGTTCTCGTTGACTATAAACGACCAACACTGGTCTTCTAAATCTGTGAACATTAAAACCCTTTTACAATATATGTCTATTGTTTTCTATTCACGTAGTTACGGATTAAATTTTTAAGTTAATTTTGACAATAACTACTTTAGTTATAGAGTACACCGCACTGAGCACTTTTTTCAACTTAATGCACATCGTACTGTGCGCTTTATTCAATTAAATTATTTTTGCTTTAACATATTGTTACACGGGATGGAAATGGCTCAACACTGAGTTAACAGCGCATTATGGACCCTGTAGGGCATTGCAAATTATGTTTAGAGAGAGGAGGTTTCATTCTTTACAATATTTTGAAATGTAGAAATGTTTACATAAGTTCACTTTTGTAAAATTTTCTTATGCGAAATTGGAAACTCGTTTATACGTATGGCGGTTTATGTATCTACTTTTCTTTCCAGATTTAAAAACGCTCTAGGTTTTTGCACCGGCGACTTTGTTTAAGATGCCTATTCTACACTACTTCAAGCTGCTCCCAATAGAGTACTCGACGACTGACGTAGGATTATCTTCAATGTGTTCTCTAACTATTAGGAATTCGATAGTAAGGTACCTTTTATACAAAGAAATTGTGCAGCACAAAACAAATCCAAAACATTATCTCTTTTCAAGATTTTGTTACTGTCCGCACCACTAAATATCATCCATTCATAGATTGCATGAAAAGCTTCAGGACTTACGCTGTTCTGCGAAATTCATTACAAATAAGAACAGTATCTATGTGTTAATTTTCAGACGTCTATATTCATTGCTTGCTGAAATTTATAGTTTTAGGACAATTCGTATCTATTAAATTTTTATTGAATTGATATTCAATTATATTTTGCGAAATTACTCCACTAGTTTGTTATAATTATTAATACAAAGATCGACCACTCAGAAAAAACACTCAGAAAAAATTCCTTCGATCCGGTTGGATTCGAACCGACGTCTTCTTGCATACCGTGCCAGACGCTATACCAACCAAGCCACGGAACGAACCAACGGACCTCACGAATTTTTCTATGTGCTTGCGTCGTGTCTTTGTATTTGGTCTTTCAACGACTTTTTAGTCGTAGCGCCATCTATGAGAAATCTATTACAGATTTATCACCCAGGTAGTACCGTGTTCGATCTTTGTATTAATAATTATAATTCATATCTATTTAATATACCGAATAAAAAAATCTTACGCTAGGCAGTTCAATTTCCCTGTGATGATTCATGTTATCGAAAAAGGTGGAATAAATCTGTAAAACTACACGATGACAATGGAACTCTTCGCCACCGATGTGCACTATTGTGTCTGTGTTTCTGAAAAAAAAAGAGCCTTGGAAGTCATTTCCTTGCAATGTTTTATCTTAGTTTATGAGACTTTTGTGGGTGTCGGTCAATCGAACAAAAAATGTACGCGGTAAAAAACGTGTTAAAATACATAGGTCACACTATAAGTTTCCGGAACTGGCCACTTACATAAACAATATTCAAAAAGTCATTACAACATTTGAAAATGGAACTCTTTGGCTGTAGAATACAGTTTGTTTCGTCTGACTGTCACTTGTTTTTACATTGTGGCGTCATTTTAGAAATTGGTTGTCTACATCATCATGGATTTAAGTTGTGAAAATTTTCGTAGTATGATTTCTACGACTTTAAGTGTAATTTAACAGCTCAGCGGAGCTTTGCTCGGCTTCAAACTGCTTTTGGAGATGAAGCATCTTGAAAGACGACTATTTATAGCTGGTTTACAGAATTCAAACGCGGTCGTGTGAATCTCAGTGACGAATTTCGTGATGGTCGCCCGTCCACTGCTGTGAACAATAAAAACATCGATGCTGTGCGCCGTATGATCAAAACAGACAGGCATGTGAGATGCCATGAGATTCGGGCATCTTTAGGCATAGGCATGAGTCAAATACAATCAATACTACACAAATATTTGGGTGTGAAAAAGCTGTGCTCTCGGTGGATCCCACACAATTTGACTGAGGCTCAAAAAACTGATCGCGTCACTTGGTCCAATGCCATGCTTACCAGATTCAACAAAGGGGCGTTAAATTTGGTGTGGGATATAGTAACAGGTGACAAAACATGGATTTATAGTTTCGATCCTAAAACAAAGCAGCAATAGAGAGTACGGGTCTTTCGAGATGAGCCGATACCAACCAAAGTGGCGAGCGTGCAAAGTGCCTCTAAGCGGATGATTGCTTCTTTTTTTAATAAAACTGGATACGTGGCTATTGTTTTGGAGAATCGTTGTACCGAGAATAGTGATTGGTACATGACCATTTGTTTGCCGGAAGTTATTGACAAACTCCGTAAAAATAACCGTAAACGCCGCATCATCTTGCACCACGATAACGCCGTTCTCACACGGCCAGGCAGACAAATGAATTTTTGAAGGTGAACAACGTTGACCTTATGAGCCAACCCGCATACAGTTCCGCCTGGCATCTTGTGACTTTTATTTACTTCCAAAAATTAAGAACCAGTTACGCGGTCAACGATTTTCATCACCTGGAGAGGCTGTCGAAGAGTATGAAAAATATGTTTCAGAGATTGTCACGGTGGAGTGGCATAAGTGTTTTCAAAATTGGTTCATTCGTATAAAAAAGTGCCTTAACGTGAACTGAGAATATTTTGAGACACAATAAATTCATTTCTGACCATTTATAGTATTTTTTCTTATTAATTCCGGAAACTTATAGTGGGCCCACGTATATCAATAGATGCTTTATCTTTCCTTTAGTAACTAAAGAAAAATATATAATAAATTATAAAACAGAAACGTACATGTAATTACGTATTCTTCGATAGAATTCTTGAAACAAATCCTGTTTCTTTGGCAATTGTACCCGCAACCAGTCAATGGGCTCTCCGAGAGCATATCCAAGGCTACTAAGTGTTTTCCCCTTGTCTTCTCTTACGGCAGCTGATTTCATTTGAGATCTCTCTGACCTTTCACCGTTCACTGGACAGGAATTTTGATTGCATCCAAATTGAGTTACATCCTAGTAAAGAAAAGTATATAACTGTAGTTTACGTTGAATAAATTACGTAATGAATGTAATTAATTTGATAGTACTATGGATAGATAATAAACGAACAAAAAAAAGATAGACTAGAAGATTTTTACGTTGATTAACCTGAAATGGTACTACAATTTAGATGAATTTAAAATGTATATGAATACAACAAAAAAAAACCAAATATACATAAAACAAATAAACAAATATCGAGTTCTTAGATTTTCGCCATTGTTACACATAGGAAATGAAACTATTTTTCCGGATTTAAATTGCGTATTTTTGTTTTTTCAAACCAACCGACGTTTCGGGCCCTTTACAGGTCCTATGGTCACAGTTGACTCAAGTCAACCGTGAGGAAATGAAACTATTTTTCGGGACCTGTAAAGTGTAAAAAAACAAATATACGCGATTTAAATCCGGAAAAATAGTTTCATTTCCTATAGTTTCATTTCCTAAATAAACCAATAAATAAATATACAGCTTGCACAATAAAATCAATTTATAAAACAATTTGTATTGCCGATACACTCCTTGCTTCAAAGCAGAATATACTGACGTGGTTTAAATTGAGTCCTTCAAGATCGTTAGTTCCGTTTCCTTCAAATTTGACTTTAACTTTTGCTTGACTCGGGTCTGCCAACAGAACACCAACCGTAGAAGACTGAAATACCACCTGAAATGACCGTGCTTTAAGAAAACTTTTCCTCACGAATGAAATACACAAGTTATATATAAAACAAATCTTTATTTTTATTCTGTGGTTTTCTTTATTGCTTTACAAATAATAATTAGAAATGTCAGAAAGTTAATAAGTCATGAATTAATGGTGGCTTGAAATGACATCAGGTGTTTATTAAAAATGTTTTTTTCTTATGATATCAAACGACGGAACGAACGAGTCATGCACCATTGCGCGTGGTGGTAAGCGATACGTCTATCCATGACAGTTGCGGTACCACTCAGAGCTTTAAATGGCAGAGATCTTAGGGGCACTGTTACTGCACCCGTCACCCTGAGAAATAAGACAAATCCCACGTGTCTGTAATTTCGCCAGCACCCTTACCCTTCAAAACCGGAACGCAGTAATGCTCATATTACTGCTTGGCGGTAGAAATAGGTAAGGTGTACTTCCCTGGACGAACACTTTCATAAGGAGTTGTACTGCTGTTAAAATACTACAGTGCAATAATACTTCAGTGTTGATAATATTCATGAACACAAACAACTTTTGGTTTAGGAATTTTCGAAATAGGCGAACAGAAGATGCAAGTTAGTACGGATACTCGAAAAAAAACTTGTGTGAATTTTCAGTTACATAATTACCTGATTTGATTGAACTTTAAGATTGCCGCTAGGTGTAGGCTTAAACGGGAAAGCCGCTCCTTTTTGACCACTAGGAGCAGCATCCTGATCTGCACTGACACTAAAGGTATAAGCTTTATTAAAGAGCTATCTTTGTAAATATATAAGTAATAGTCTATTATTATTAATACAAAAATCGAATACTCAGAAAAAAATTCCTTCGATCCGGCCGGATTCGAACCGACGTCTTCTAGCATACCATGCCAGACGCTATACCAACTAAGCTACGGAACGAACCAGCGGACCTCATACCATACAAATAAAGGTATCTAACATATCGGTTAGATACCTTACCTTACCTAGCTAGATCTCACAGAATTTAAAAAATTCTAATTTAATTGAATTTAAAAAATGCTAATTCAAAAACTAACTTTTTTGGTTTAAGAAGATGTTTGTTTTAGAACCTTTTTTGTTAATTTATTATTATTATGACCCTGTATTGCCCCAGAGAAGGGGAAAATACTCCTTACTTTGTGTCACTTTTGCTCTTTAGTCATAATAAAATCAAACCTTTAATAAAATGTTCCATTTCAATCCCGCGCACCTACTAACAGTTTACTACTTTTTCTGTAATTTGTTACTTCAAAACCGCGTTAGTGACTTTATCCGGAATCTAAACAAGTTATGGGTAAACTTACGTCATTTTTCTACAAAGTGAATTGCAAAGAAATAGCTACAGAGTTCAATCGGTAAAATATAGTTCAATAGCTAAGATATTAAGTTTTTTATTCCTCTTGTAAAATCGTGAAAACGTTGTTACGCGGTATTTACAAAGTGCTCTTCAGCGGTATTGCACGCGCAGCAACGAAATGATTTGTATTGTCACTTATTTCCTGACCTTTATTTGAAGATAGTGTGTTTCGATTACGACGGTTAATTATGCCAAACAGTCGAATACCGCATATCTAGATAGCATCACAAGTTGCTATTAAAATAATTATAAGTTACGTAACTTAGGTATTATTTGCCGAAGAATAGGTAATGAATTATATGGTGTGAACCATTGAAATCATCATAATTACCTTGAATAGTCAGTGCTGGAAGTAACATTGGCGTCTATAACATCACTGTCTCTTTCTCTACGACGTTCACCATATTCCGTTGGCAATTTCGATGTTAAATTCTGGGACGCCATGTTCGTTTTAAGTTCGTATGGCGGAGTCGCGTGCATTAGTCTTCTAAAGGGTCTTCTAGGAATAGAAAATAAAATAAATAATATAAATAAATATTATAGATATTTAAAAAAGTTTTAGGTCGGAGTTTCTTGACTTTAAACATCTCCAGGAAACCTAAATAAATGAAATATTTATGACATCTCTTGAAGACATTGATAGTGTATTGGTGAACTCGGTGGTAAAACTGTTATATAAAGTTTTCATTGCGAGCTATTCAGAAGACAATGTATTTTAAAATGCTTCAGTTTCACTGTGCGTGAATTATAAGTATGTGTTGAATTTTGTATAATATTTTAGATTTGTACTAATATATTAAATTTAAACTCACTTAGTCTTAATGTTCCAAGACATCAATGCACTGTCGCCGTGGTCGTTGGCGCAGTGAGTCTTGCACCTGTCGTGTTCTATAGCACCATGAAATATATCTACGGGATTTCTATCCAATAAAATTTTACTTGTGTGTCTTATGAAGTTTAAAGCTGTGAAGAATAATTTACTCATGTTATATTGTTGAATTGTAAGATTGAAATTAATATTAAGAATGGTTTTCACATTGTGTGCGTAAAATAATAAGTTACAGCTAAAGAAAGTACTTGGACTGGAAAATTATTTGGAAGGTACAGTTAGGAGCTTAGAATAATAACGCATAGAATGATAGTTTCATATCAAACGAACTGTCACAAGTGAGGCAAAACCAAATTCATGTAGGCGTAAGCAACTTGTAACTACGCTCGTCGGCACGCACACAAATATACAAATAATGATGCCATGGAATAACATTTCCCTCAAAAGTGGGGAAATTGTATCTTGCTTAACTCATCATTAAGTTAAAGGTGCCTACAGATTTGCCCGACATTGTCGATCAGGTGCCTACAGATATGCTCGGTTTTGTCGATGAAAAACGAATATAGCACTTATTTGTAAATCCAAGATGGCGGACACGATTTTTCAAAATATGCTATATGGGTATCCTTTTCGAGGTATTTGGGGATGCTCATTACGAATATGGCACTCATTTCTAAATCCAAGATGGCGGACACGAGTTTTCAAATAAATGCAATATGGGTATCATTTTCGAGGTACTTGGGGGTGCTCATTACGAATATGGCACTCATTTGTAAATCCAAGATGGCGGGCACGATTTTTTCAAAAAAATGCTATGTGGGTATCATTTTCGAGGTATTTGGGGATGCTCAATGCGAATATGGCACTATTTGTAAATCCAAGATGGCGGGCACGATTTTTACCAATAATGGCAAGTTGGGTATCGTTTTCGAGGTATTTGGGGGTGCTCATTACGAATATTGCTTTTATTTGAACTGTCGTGTTTGCCATCTTGGATTTAGAAATGAGTCCCATATTTGTATTGAACATTCCCAAACATCTCGAAAACGATACCCAACTTGCCATTATTCGAAAAATCGCGCCCGCCATCTTGGATTTAGAAATAAGTGCCATATTCGAAACCTAAAACCGAAAATGCCATAAGCAAACATTAAAGAAAATAACTGTTAAAATAGATTAAAAAATCGCTGAAGAATGCTCCCCTTTTAAGAAAATAAAATATTTTAATATAAAATATTTCGCTTGAGTTACGAAAAGAAAGACATATAATAAGCTATCAAAGTTGTACTGGTGGTGCCAACACTATAGTAGAAACAAATATATACTGTAAATTTGTTGCAATATGTGCTCCAATTCAAATAAAATTAATATAAATAATTATTCAATAAAGCATGAACGCAGAGCCGTTAAAAGTATTATAAAATAATTAAGTGTCCCAATCACTTACAGGAGTTAACGAAAACATTTCATGTTTATTCGAGTAAATATTAGTTCAAAATGCGCAAATAAATCGAAATTACAGGCACCACTAAAATTTACGTAATATAATTATTTTGATACAGAATAGCAAAATGGGGAGAAAAAAAATTCGTTACTTTGCAACACTTTCGTATCTTGTTGCCGCGAAATTATTTTTCTGTTTTAGTGAATATTTACATAAAAATATGAGTTGAAACGCATTACTTACTTGTGGAATGCGATGTTAGTGTCTATTTTATGTTTGTCTGTTGTATTTTTACACCCATTTACCGCACATTTCGTCATTTTTAGCAAAAAATTTTGGAGCTGTTCGCGGTGCAATATGACCTTGAGCACTAACAGCCCGCGCGCTCCTGGGACGCGTTTGGAACCCTCTAACTTGCCTCACTTAGCGTGTGCGGGCTAGGTTTCTATGCGTTATTATTCTAAGGTTAGGAGTATATCAAGCATAAGGGCGCACTTATTATTATTTATTCTTATTATATTATATACTTATTAACAGCCTCCGTGGCCGAACGGTTACCATGCTGGGCTGCCACGCAGAGGTCCCGGGTTCGATTTCCGGGCCGGGAGAAATATTTGTGTGGCCTACATTTATTTCTCTCGTGAGTCTGGGTGTAATTTGTGGTTGTCTATATGTGTGTCCATGGCACCCGCGATACAGGGTTACCCTATTCCGGGGCTATGAATGTGTACGTGTTATTATGTTATTATTATTCGACATGAAATTCATCGTTTTCACGCTTTCAAATTAGACACTTATAGAAGCGTCGCAGCAGCGCGACTGTGGCGCGGTTGCCGCGCGTCTGTAGCGGTTCAGTAATTTTTAGTTCACTTGACTGCGAAAGTGGCGTGCGTGTGTCACGACAGTGGCGTTGCAACTGTGCTTCTCAACATTGTTTGAAAATTAGTAGTGGCGACACTGCAGGGCTTCTATAAGCGTCTAATTTGAAGGCTGCCTAACGCTCTGGACTTTGGAACAATATTATCGTAAGCGGTATAGAGTTGAAATTAAATCCTAAAGAAGGAAAATATTTTAAAGCAAAGCGAAAACTCACTCACTAAGATCACTTTTGTCAGGCGTGAGATCGGATAGGGAGTTGCTTCTATACAGTTTCGGCTTAATGCTTATGCTGTAGTGTTCGAAAATATCTGTGAATTTACTCTTGATTTTTCGTTTCGGCGGCAGGAGTACGAGAGTGCTGCTGAAATATTGCATACAAAATAGTATTAATTATTTACAATTGGGTAGTTTTTAAGGTGCTACTTTTATAACATTCCCTTAGTTTATCAAGTTTTGTTATCTAATTTTTAAATATTTTTAAATAGACTACAAAATTCAAATTTGAATATTTTAATTTTGTAGTCTATTTTAGCATGTTTCAGGTTTCAGGTTACTTATTGTAATGGTTAGTTCCCATTTGTTTTATAGAACACAATGTCATCGAACAAAATTATAATATTTTCCTCAATGTTTTCCCACTTCTCATTGACGTCATGGATCAAAATGAGAAATATTTTGAAAAAATTGTTCTGTTATGTTTGACACAAGGATTTGATTATTATATCAACATTATTGCATAAAAAAGTTTTTTTATTGTAGTTTGTTTTATGGAACAATTTGAGAAGTGATAAGTATTACCCGTACTTTGGAAATCAGTCAATTGTCACATTTGGTTCGATGTTGCTATAATTAATATTATATACTATGGCATAAATGAGAATTACTCAACGTAGTACACTAGGTGTACTCCTATAGCTGTCCTTATCGTGCTTATGATCACGTAAACCATAGGACATTAACATAAAGTACAATGTTTGTGAAGGTGTTCTAGAAACTCGTTAAAAAATTACTCGATGTGTTGACACCTACTGTACGTTAATAGGTGACACCACAATAGATACTTACTCAGTAGAGTTCCGTATAAATTGACCGTCTCTTGCATTAGACACTATTCCTGCACCATTTACCTGAAAAACACTGTTAAAGTTATCACTCAAGAATATTAAACAAGTGAGTGTGTAATTTGATATTTATTTATATAGTTAAGTTTGTAGCAGTAGTAGAGCTTCTTGTAAAATAGTTTATCCAAGGAAGTACTGCCGCCTTACTATTTCTACCGCCAAGCGGTAATGTGAGTGTTACTGTGTTCCGGTTTTGAAAGGTAATAGCGCTGGTGAAATTACAGGCACATGGGACTTGTCAAGTAGCATATCAAGATGACGGGCGCAGTGGCAGTGCCCCTCAGACCTTTGTAATTTAAAGCTCTGAGTGGCACTGCAACTGTTATGGATCGCTTACCACTCGGCGCAAGATTTATTCGTCCAAATTCTACAATGTTTGACTTATGGTAATTCGTGAGTACTTGTGGCTCAATTTACAGCACCAGAACCCTTATCCTTCGAAACTGAAATGCAGTAATGCTTTCATATTATTACTGTTGCTCTGCCACGCAGAGGTCTCGCGTTCGATTCTCGGGCCGGAATAAATATTTCTATGGGGCATATTTACTTCTCTCGTGAGTTTGGGTGTAATTTGTGGTTGTCTATGTGTGTGTCCAAGGCTACCGTGATACAGGATTTCCCTGGTGCGGGGCGATGAGTATGTGTGTTATTATTATTTTGCGGCAGAATTAAGTAAGGTGGTAGTACTTCCCTTGACGAACACTTTCACAAGGAGTTTTAGTAGCAGTAGAGCTCCTTGTGAAAGAGTTCGTCCAGGGAAGTACTGCCACCTTACCTATTTCGGCCGCCAAGCAGTAATGTCAGCATTGCCGTGTTCCGGTTTTGAAGGATAAAGGTGCTGGTGAAATTACAGGCACATGGGACTTGTCGACGTATGTCTCAAGGTGACGGGCGCAGTGGCAGTGGCCCTCAGATCTTTGCGATTTAAAACTCTGAGTGGCACTGCAACTGTTATGGACAGGCGTGTAGTTTACCATCAGGCGCACAACTTGTTCGTCCCGTCACTAAAAATTTTAAAAAAAGTTAACTTGTGAGCCTTTTCTTATTTATCTTTACCTTTTGAACTACTTATATGTTTAACTTTTTTGTCGTGATGTAATTCTACATTGTTAAAGATATCATGTATAAGCGGGCAGATGTGGGTGTTATCGTCGTTGTTGCTTTTATAATCGTGAGTATTTCTTAAAAATTATTTAATTTTATGGTTCTGTACGTGTATGGCAAAATTATGGTGAGATTTCAATATATGTCCATCTGTGTGTCACAGCAGTATTGGGATCTAATATCGCTATCGAGATGAAAGTTGGCATACGTATAGAACCTGGTTTTTCTCGAAGGGAACTTAGAAATATTTTATTTTTACTGAAAAAGTTTTTAATGGAGTTTTTAATGGTGGGTAGAAATCTGAAAGTGTGCAGCCAATTCAAGTAGGGTGATAGGTATAACAGGGGCTTCTAGTATAAAATGCAAATAATGTTTCATAAATTAATGACTTATAGAGAAAAACGCGCTAAAACAGCTGTTTGTCACTTCATTTCCTAAGTGCCGAAAAATTAAAAGAATTCTGTTAGATAGTGTTGGAAAAATTGAACGAAATCATAAATAATTATAATATTTTAAAATAAAGTAATTAAAGTGATTTTTACCAATATTTTACGAAAAATAAAACGATGTTTACAATGTTCGAGATGACCAACTGATTAGGAAAATTAGTGATGTGTCACATGAGGTTTAGAGCACCAATCAGCGCGCGAGTTATACTTGCACTTAGCAATTGTTTGAAATATTGTGTTGCTTTAAATATATGGAAGAATCAAGTTCTTAGCTCGGCTTGTGGGAAGTTCTATGCTTTGTGTCAGAGCTAAACAAACGAATAAACTATCTATCACCACACGAACTTATAAATATAATAGATATATGGACGAATAAAGTTCCTAAATCGGCTTGTGGGAAGTTGAACGTTGTGTCCCAGGGCTAACAAATGAATAAATTATCCCTTACCACACGAACACGAACCTATGTGAAAAGCGTGTATTAAGAACGAGTGGCCAGGAATCGGAGAAAAGGCGATATAAAGGTGGGATGGCGATGTAAGAAGGTCACATCGTCACATCTGTATATGCTTATTGTTCCTCTCATAGACCTCTCACAAACAAACATATGATAAGAGTATGGCAAAACAGATTTGCCATACTCGTCGTCACGGTTGATATTGCTTGCTAATGACCTATGAAACCATTACTAATATAACAGAGAATCTTCACTTTAATACGTAACAGAGGTCTCTATCATATAGAGGTATCTGCTTTGTATTGCAGGGGTCTATAATTATTTCCTATTCCTTACATTCTGAACGAAAACCATAAGGACACAATGTAATAATATCACTCGATGAAGCGAAAATGCAAGCAAACGCCAATATTCCCTTATTACTAACTCACTTTTTCCAAACTGATGGTCCTTTTCATTTCAAACTCACCAAACGAGTAGTGAAGGAACAAATACCATATCGCTATAAATACTGTTATTATGGAACTTGCAAATACGCAAAGGGCCTCGAAAATTTGCAGCAAATGATGTTGGTGATTTCTCGTGAATCTTGTCAAGCTCAAATATATTCCAATCACTGACATGAAACGACATATGCGCGGTGACAAATCTTAGAGAATAGAAATCCATAGTCTAAGTGACAAAATGTGTCCGAGTTATTTATTATTTTGACAAGTTTTAAGGCATTTTTCACTTGAATAAAAAAGAAAAAAAATTGTACATTGTTTTCATTTTTATTAAAGGATTACTGAAGAGGTTAGTGCATGGGATCAGTCTTTTGTTTATATCCTCTAAGGCTCAACGCACACCGGCGCAGACTCGAAGCGTCGCGTCGCGACCTGTTTTTTAACTACAACGCCTGACGACGCGCGTCGACGCGCGACGACGCTCGTATTAGTGCGCCGGATCACCGACGCGCGAAGCCGCTAGACTCCATATTTGCATAACACAAATTTGTATCTTGATAATGGGAAAATAGAGATGAATATGCTATAGGCGAATCACATGACGCGTCGCGACGCTTCGACTCTGCGCCAGTGGAGCCTAACGATGCCATATCATGACATATTGTTCCGAGTCCGAGTTACCTTCATCTACGTCCATATTTAAAACTTTTTTTCTAGACCTGTACTTCAATCTGTCAATTATAATTTCATAAACCTTATCGCAAAGGCGCTCTTTTTACTTAGAGGATGGAAAAAAAATGGGAATAGTCTCATGATAGTACCTAATCGACGTTTGAAATGTGTAGCGCAACCTTTATAAATTTTAGTTCTTAACCAAAATTATATTGACCATGGTGCTATTTTAGCTACGGAACTGAAAAATGACATTATTGTCAATATCCAGCCATTTATAATAATCTTATAGGATGGAATAAAATAAAGAAATAGTTAGTTAATAATCGACGTTGAAATCTATCGCGCAACCTATGTATATAAACTTTTTCAAAAAATCGCGCGACATTTGCATTGACGGGACATAGATTATTATGATTTTATTGAACATTCGGAAAAGTAGGTGAGAAGTAAAACACATTGAAAAACAAATTTATTTTGTTATTAAACAAACTTGAAAAACTATTATTACTAAACTTATTATTTCTAAAGTAATGAACAGATTTATTTGTTGTGTCCCTATCTTTTCATCATCATCATCATAAGTTCGTCCACTGCTGGAAATAGACCTTCCCCAAAGACCGCCACAAATTCAAATTAAATTTAATAAACTATTCTTTCGCTATTAAATCTTAACATTACTTTGGTCTTTTGATTAAATGAAATAAAAAATAACTATTTTTACAATTCTGTGTTTTTTCATATACAGACAAAAAATGATGTATAATGTAAAACAGTATAAGACGTAGTACTACATTAGTAGTAAGTACGTTACAAATCGGTATAAATAAGTTTCCCAACAACAATACAGTCGGTCATCTGCCAAATTAATGATTTTGCTGCCTACAATGCACGTATCTGCACTAATAATCTATGACTGGTGTTCGTGCGTCCTTATAGCATTTGGTACAGGAATAATTTGCTATCTCTATCTAAAATTAGCTACTGTTATATATTAAAATAAACAGAAAAATAAATAAAATACAGCAACAATGTAAATATTTTAGCTAACTTACGCCTGATATGTGATTCCTTATGTTTTATTCACTTTAACAAGGTAATTAGCGTATTTTTTTAAATAAACACGACGGCATTTTTCTTAAAATGACGTAATTCTACAAATGTCCAATTCGTCTCTGCTTGACGCAGATTGATTGCAAGATCGGACAATCGACTGGTTTTCGGATTTTTACTACGCGGATTCTAGTAACACATGTGTCATTTCTGTATATAAGATCATTGATTTATAGTTCTGTACACAGAACAACTCACTATTTAAAACAATATAAAATATCAAATATGACGCCACTGAAACGCTCAACCGTCTCCATATAAGCGGTACTTTTTTTTTTTTTTTTTTTTTTTTTATTGTGACTCGGCAAAATGACTGCACCGCGCCTGATGGAAAGTGCGAATACAGTCCAGAGATGAGAGTAACGGATGGAAAACACAAATATCTTCACTCCGTCACTATCATTTTGCCGGTCTGGCCAAATGCTTCTTCACACTACGTTTGAAGGACCCGATGTTATAGAGGGGAGGGAATACATGCGCCGGGAGTTGGTTCCACAATTTGATGGTTCGGCATAAAAACGAATTGCCAAACTTTTTAGTGCGGGACGGTATTGAACTGACCGTCCAACTGTGGCAACGCAGTCCGGCACGGGTGGTCCGCTGATGGAAAGGAGAGGAAGGGACAAGGTTGAATAACTCTTCAGAGCACTCACCGTGGTACAGACGATAGAATACGCTAAGAGACGCTATATCTCTGCGAAGCTGTAACGACTCCGCATGCTCAGTTACATGAGGATCGTTGACAACACGGAAGGCGTAGCGCTGCAGTCCATCTAGGGCATCGAGCAAGTACTTGGCAGAGCCGTCCCAAAGGTGCGAACAGTACTCCATGCTGCTTCGGACCTGAGCTTTATACAACAGGTATCGCAGCTCTGGAGTAAAAAATCGGTGCACCTTGTTCAGGATGCCAAGCTTGCGCGACGCGGTACAGATGACGCTCTCGATGTAATCTTTGTTGCTCATGTCCTTCCGGATGCTCATCCCCAGCAGACTGAGCCTGTCCTGCAGCGTCAGCGTTGTACCCTGAAGATGGGGAAGTGGAAGGAATGGGGATTTTTTGGAGCTGAACGCGCATACCTGGGTTTTCTTGGCGTTGAACTCAACCAAGTTTCGGGAGCCCCACGACGATATATGCTCCAAAACATGGTTGAGCTCAGCGACAAGTTTTTCCCGGTTTCTCTCAGGGTCCTCCCGGGTGCTTGACGATTGCTTATAATAGCAACCGTGCACTGTGCTATCATCTGCATAGCAATGAATGTTGCCAAAAGGCAACAAGTCATTGATATGCAGAAGGAACAGCGTGGGCGACAGCACTGAGCCCTGTGGCACCCCAGCATTAACTGTCACGAGCCGCGAAGTGCCTCCGTCAACAAGGACACGCAATCTTCGCTCGCGCAGAAAGCCGGAGATCCACTCACAAAGGCGGCCGGGAAGACCATATGCCGGAAGCTTGGAGAGGAGACCACGGTGCCAGACCCGATCAAAGGCCTTAGCAATATCCAGACTTATCGCTAAGGTTTCGCCCTGTTTGTCGATAGCTTCACCCCAGAGATGCATTAGATACGCTAGAACGTCACCCGTTGATCGGTTCGGCCGAAACCCATACTGCCGATCATTAAGAATGGAGTGACGTTCCAGGTGCCGGATTATCTGGATATTTAGAATCCGCTCCATCACTTTGCAGAGCACTGAAGTGACAGCTATTGGGCGATAGTTTGTCGGATCAGACCGATCTCCTTTCTTGGGGATAGGTTGCACGTTGGCCTCCCTCCAAGCTAGGGGTACGTTACCAGATTGGTATGAGAGGCGGTATAAGCGCGTCAGTACGGGAGACAACTCCGCCGCACACCTTTTAAGGATGATAGGAGGTATCCCATCCGGACCGTAGGCTTTCCGCACGTCAAGAGCCTGCAATTCCTTGCGGACATCACATTGTCTGATAACTATATCAGGCATTGTGACTCCGCAGTGGGGAATTGACGGCGGTTGCGCATCTTGGTCGTGAATGCGCGAGTTAGCCCCAAAAAGGTCGGCCAATAAATTGGCTTTCTCTTCGGGGCCATAGGCCAAAAATCCATCGGGATACCTCAAAGGCGGCAGCGACGAACGACAAAAGTTGGACTGCACGGCTTTGGCCAGGCTCCAGTAGGCACGGCTACCGGTGGGATGGGCTACCAGCTTCTGGCCAATCCGTGAAACGCGCTGGGCATCCGCTCTTATGTAAGCCCTCCTGCAAGACTTGGTTGCTTTGTTATAGGCTGCTTTAAGGGACGCAAGGTTGGGATCCTTTGTTACACGACCCCTGATCCAACCACGATATGCAGCCTGTTTCTCACTAACAGCGTCCATGCATTCGCGATTGAACCAAGGGCGTCCTCTGCGATTGGCGATGACACTGGAAGACGGTATGTAGTAATCCATAGCCGTTCCAATCTCATCGACAACAGCATCGGCAGCTGCTGAGGCATCCTTTCCCGCAAAGCAGTGCTGCAACCAAGGGATGGACGCAAAGTAGTCGCGCATACCATCCCAATCCGCCGACGAGTAGTGCCAAATGCGACGAGTGACCTCCTTCAGCTTAGTTGGAGGCATTTGGGAAACCTTACACCCAACCAAACAGTGATCAGAACTTCCCAGGGGGGCGCTGACTGATACTGTATAGTAGGTAGGGTGACTCGCGAGCAGAAGGTCAAGCAAAGAGGGTGCATGATCCGATATGTCTGGAACCCGGGTGGGCTGGGTTACCAGTTGGGTCAAGTCATGCGTGAGAGCGAAAGCGTGGGCAGTTCTTCCTGCATGGTCAGTCTTGAGGGAACTTAACCATGATTCATGGTGAGCATTAAAGTCCCCCAACACGACCATCTCCGCAGATGGGAACTGCGCCTGCGCGTCAAGAGTCGCCTGGCTCAGTTGGTCAAAGAGCCTAGTTGTCTCCGCATCCCCACTGTGGGATCTATATAAGCACGCGAAGACTCTAGCTGAACAACTAGATTCTACGAGCACCCACATAGTGGAAAAGGAGGGGTCCTCCAGGCAGCGCAGACGGCGACAGCACACATCCGAACGAATATATACACATACCCCGGCTTTGGCCTGAAAGTTTTCCTCAAGCGAGTAGCCGGGGTAGTTCAAGTAACTCATATCATTCGGACGGCGGATCTGCGTCTCCGTCAGGAAAAGCAGGGCAGGCCGGGCTGTCTCGAGGTGATGGTGGACAGCTTTGAGGTTGGAGTGGAGTCCGCGGATGTTAGCGAACTCAATAATAAACGCGGTGGGGGGATTAGGCACCGCTGAACGATCTGCATTCTTATGTTGCGCTGTCATGGTGGGTAAGAAGGACGGTAGTGTGAAGAGGTGAAGCCTTCGGCACCGCACCGAAGAAGAAAAACGAGGGGAACTGCAATACATGCCATTGATCTTTTGAAGGATAGCCGGCTGACCCGCCGAACGGAAGGGCCCCCGTACCCCCCCGGGATATGCCGCCGGGACCCCATATTCCGGTCACTAACCGGCACGACGACCTACCCCAAGATTATGCGCGGCATGGTGGGGCAGCCTCTAGGGGTAGTTAGTCCCTATTGGGCCCCTGTACTGTACCGCGGGCGGCCAGCGGACAACCGTTTCTACGGGTCTCCCTGGGCGGCAGGTCAACTAGATATCCCCCAACAAGTGACATGGCGAATATCCGCCTCAGTCCTCCCAGATACCGCGCCGAAAACTCCACGTGCACTGGATGTACACCAACTGATCCCTGAACGCGATTCGCAAAAGCGTTTCACTGTGGAGGGTTTTCCGCCGTGTGTACTGTGGTCGCTATCCAGTCGGCACAAAGCCTACCACAACGCTAAGCAGATGGACACTTGTGACGCCCTCGGTCGCCTCTTACGACCCCCACGGGCATGTATGGGGAGGCGACAATGTATTCTTAAGCCGTCGCCCCACGGCTAAAAGTGTCTGTACTTGGTCAAGTACAGACACTTCTATTCTATCTCTTTGGATTTTGTTTCGTAGTGTTTATTGGGCTTTCGTGTGAGTTTGTTATCGTAGATTTTTAACAAAATAATCTCTAATTTTAGTTGGTATAGCGTCTGGCACGGTATGCAAGAAGACGTCGGTTCGAATCCGACCGGATCGAAGGAATTTTTTGTGAGTGTTTTTTCTGAGTGTTCGATCTTTGTATTAATAATTATAACAAACTAGTGGAGTAATTTCACAAAAAATTATTGAATATCAATTCAATAAAAATTTAATTAATCTCTAATTGTTGGTCGTGTTTCATTATTTTAATTTATTCGTAGAAAAAGCATTGTACGCAATCATTAGGTACATACATTTTAAGACTTAATTATGTAATGCTTGCATACAATACTTTTTTTACGAGTACCTACATAAATTATGAAAAACAATCAATATTTAATGTATATTTTGTTAACAATCCACGACAACAAACTCAAACGTAAGCCAAACAAAAGCTGCAAAACAAAAAACCAAAGAGATCGAATAGGTGTGTCCAAATAAGGGCCAAGTACTGCTTATATTTGAACCTAAGATTTTAATGAATTTTTTTTTCTAAAATATATATTGTCATATTTGCAGCATTTTGATATTTTAATCAGCAAAAATACATTCTTTTTTTGAAACTCATTCAGTAGTAGTGTACCATAATAAAATTGTTCAGTTCAGTAGCAAGTACCATAGACAATATAATTTTGATTCAGAAATAAAAAGAGTGCCTTTGTGGTATGGTTTATGAAATTATAGTAATTGACAGACTTATAGTACAGGAGTAGAAAAAATGCTATTATGTTATCCTCAGGGTCAGGCCATATCAGCTCCTAGTACGGAAATGCCTCGAACGTTGACCATGTCTTCTGCAACTACTACTACTCAACGTACAACGACTGAATGTCATCATGCCACAGACCTCGTCGATGGTTTCGCCGGCAACGCCATAAACGTACCTCCGTGCAAAGATGGCAAACAACTCGACATTTTTGGCGTGTGTCGTGAAATATTCAATGATAATAAAAATTCCTAGTTATAACTTATCATTAAATAAGAACCATTTATAATATACGTACTTTAAAAAGGGTACAGTCATTATTTACAATGTTAATATTACTTTACATTAGTAACCTAACTGCCTTATCTAATCTAAACAAGTACTTAGAGATGTAAATACATGTCAAAACCATGTAATAAAAGATTGAAATATCGAACGTACAACTAGCCCTTAGTCAATTCAGTTTCTATCAATTTTTTATAAAATTCAAGGTCTTACTAATAGGTAGTAGTATTAGTGGTCATTGACGTGCGGTAAGGTTTACCGCATGTCAACAGGCCAAAAAAATAGTCATATGTCATTGTTAGCGTTACCATTCATACATTTGAACAGTCCGGGCAAAAACACTGACATTTGAAAGATAGTCTAGACTTTTTACTAACAAAATAAAATCAAAAATCTTTCACTCACGGCAAGAAAGATGGACAACAACCAGGGCCAGATATCCTCGTCGTAAATTAAGTTTACTACAGAATTGCGAGGTAGATTATGTAACTTTTTATTCTGAAAATTAAGCCGAAAAATCCGGACAGAAGGTGAAATATCCGGACAAATCCGGATGGATGGTAACCCTAGTCATTGGAGAACGGATCGAGACTGCTCCTTCTTGCGTCAAAGGTTTTAAAGGAAGGAAAGGGTGGCAAACTAGGGGATGAATCCGGTTTCGCGCACTTTCCGGTAACCGATTTCAATAAAACTTGGCAAATAGATGTAATTCCACGAACTTTTGAGGTCAGTTTTTTAGTACTCTGTATTGAGATTACATTGTTGGTGTTTTAGAAAACCTTTTTCAGACCTGTAAGTAGTTCAATTTGCAGTCAAAAAACACACGTTACTATGAGATTAAAGAAAACATTCTGTTAGATATCACAGATAGAAACTAGACCAGAAACGTGTTCAATAGCTACGTCCGAAAAATTTGCTGAAATAAGAACAGGAAAGTCTAACATAAACGTTTACCTCATAGCTTCTCGAGCAGTATAAATAAACAACGCGTGGTATGTAATTTAGCTAATCTGGGAAATTATTTTACGAAGGAGTAGAATTTGTTTACTTTAATGTAGACTTGGTATATAAGGCACTTTAATAAGTAAGTATGACAGTAAAGGAATATAATACGAACGAGTAGTATCTAAGACGTATTCTTAGTAGTTATGGATTAACACATTTGCACTATTCGTGCAAAGAATTAAGGTACAGCGCGTTTGATACTCTCACAGTGAATTCTTATTTAATTTTCCTGTTTTGTAGACAGAAAATACAAAATACAATCCGATAACTTTCTTTTGCGTCATACTTTTGGTGAATTTCCGGGCTGTAAATATAGTCATAGAATTAATAAATCGAGTATATCTGGGCATCAACGGTGAGCAACAATGACGTCACGTTTCAAGTTTGTAAGATAAACACGATAGCCGTTTAAAACAGAACCTGCTCGTCGCAAATACATCAGTTCCCTCAGTAGTCTTGTACTGATCGTGTGCTCCTGAGATTCAATTTTGAAAATAAACTTGTGAGTATATATATTTACTATTATATATAAGTAATTACGAAAAATAAGATGAACTAAAAATATTTTCAAGTTTATAAACAGGTTAGTAATTTTCGTAAATGTTTTTTGGAAGTAATGGATGTTTAGGTTCCACTAAGCTCGTTGTTTCTGAAGTGATTATCAATAACTTGTTCAAAAACCTCAACTATTGAGTGTATACATAATTAGTTTTGCCTGCTGTCATCTGTTACCATAAATTGTGTATCTGTAATATACGTGTATATCATAGATATAAAGAAAGAATTTAATTTGAATGTAACTAGCACCAACTCTTAGAAGATGGAAAAGTACTAAACAATTCAGTCAAAATGGAGGCCGAAACAAAAATCAGCAAATTGTCATTAGCACAAGCTGCGTTTGACCTCGGCTGTCGTGACGTTGCATTTTGTGCCGCCATTGCCAGTATGGACCAATATCCCTGTGACCTTCAAGCTTTGACCAAACATTATTTATTACGTCAATATAAATACTCGTAATACGACGTCCTAACCGTAGAATTTCTACCTATAGGAACTATTTATATTGTTTATACTTTGGATTTAGTATGGAATCCTTTAATCAATAATCATATAATAAACTTGATCCAATAATGGATCAAGTTTATGTACGAACGAAATTTATCAAAGAGGTTTTTAATAAAATTTTAGAGTTATGCAAAAAAACTGAAATAATTACAAATAAAAATGTGATGGGGGAAAAAAAAACATAGCTAGGCTTTTTTAATTTTGTTACTTCAACTTACTTCGTTCATTTGGTGTTACATTGAGGTAACTGCAAATTTTGGCAAAATTGGCTCGTAAAAATATACTAATGTTTGTGACAGTGATATAATCTTTAACATAAGTAATCAGTTTCCATACGTAGTGTAAGGAGGTTAACTCTACATTTTATTGGACTTGTATAGTACCACGGAAGTGTGTTTGGTCTGTGTATAGTACATATAAGTACTTTCAGGTTTGCTAGTAGTGACGATATCTTTATAACTTTTTTGTATACAGAAAAGAAAGAAAAAATGGCAGATAATAACGATCGCATCGTTTTTCCCGACGAAGTTGAAGCTGTTAAGGACGCCGCTGCCAAATCCAATGTTGTCCAGGGCGGTGACAGCAACTCCATTGAGGCAAACGCATCTACTGCGGGGAACTCCCAAATTGAATTAAGGAACGTCATCACTGCACCACCGAATTGTCCTCCCGGTTACAAAATGGGAAAAGACGGCGTATGTCGCGAAGTTTTTGACTAAAGTTAACTAGAATTAATGTCTTGCCATAGTTTAAAATCTACTTTACACTAAGATTTTGTTAATATGTAGTTAAGTTTTTTTTATAAAAAAAAATAATTGCACGTTTGACCACCATCTCAACTGACAGAAATTGACGATGAGGTCCACGATAAAGTAAAAATTAAAGCCTATTTTTATCCCGCCTTGAAAAGGCTTAAGTAATACCATTCAGGGAACAAGCATGCAGGCAGGGAAATCTACTCCATAGCAATTCGCCATATAAAAGCGGAAGCTTAACGTTTCGTGTGAATAGGAGTGGAACCCTAACCCAACTTTGACTTTAGTTTATTTATCCCCAATCGTCACTTTAAAGAAGACTAGTGCCAAGTCGTGAAACATGTACGGGTTGAGGCAGTCTTAGGTCCTTGGGTCTTAAGTATTACGTATATGTAACCATACACAGACAAGTAATAATATTATTCATTGGCAGTTCCTATTGTGATATACTGGAAAAGAATGTTTGATTTCGAAGGGCTTAATTGAGATTGTTCTTGATTTGTGAATGGTTCAATAGCTAGCAATATTTTATGTTGTTAAGTACGGAGGTGAAAAGAAATCTTTATTGATTATTTATTTACAAGCTGTCACGTGCTGTGTATGCATAATAGGTACGGACGGCAGTATATCGCTGCCGCAGCTAAACACTGACGTATCGTGTTCCGTTGCTCTGGAGGCGATATTAGAACAAAAATGTGTAGCTCTATGTGGTGTTGACTGTACATAGGTGTTAAAGCGTGTCGCGTCCTAGAGAAACACGGTAACCCTGACGATTTTGGTAAAAAAAATACTTTTTTGTTTTTTTAAATGGCGTATGAAAAATAACCGCACCTTAGAGACACTTAGTGACTTTAGGACGGTACAGCTAAAATCGTTAAGGACACCGTGTGTCTCTAGCACGCATGACGGGTCAATTAACGATTCTAGAAGAAAGCCTTAATTATACATACTAACAATTATATATAATATATGCCATTATTTGTTATGTACACTTGTGTAAATTGACAATTTCTGTAAGCATACTGATTCTCAAACTAGGTGCAATTAGTAGTACCTACTTAATTGCGACTAAATGATAGCACGTAATATTAAGCTATTAAACCACATACCAGTATTAATTTTAGCTATATAGATAATTTTGTTTATATCGAATCGAATACATTAAAGTTTTTCATATCACTGAATATTGCTCTAAGCTGTGCTGAATTAAATGTTACAATTTTGATATTATTTTAGTACTTATATTTCCTTGATTTTTTTAGTAGAGTTATTTTTTAAATTACCCTAGTTTTTATTTTACGCATGTTAGTTGGAATTAACTGTCATTCCAGAGAAATACCCAGAATGTATAAAAAAAATAATTTGTAGTAATATAATTATTAACATTTTATCTTTTTTATGATATCAAGCGATGGGACGAACAAAAGTGACCTTAAGTGACCTTAAGACCTCGGAAGCGACACGCCTATCCATAACAGTTGCAGTGCTATTCACAGTTGAGGAGCACTGCCACTACGCCTGTTACTCTGAGACACAAGTTGACAAGTTCCATGTGCCTGTACCAGCACCCTTATCCTTCAAAACCGAAACACATGTTCACATTGTAGTTCGTAACTGTAATTCGTCTGTGCTCTGCTACGGTCTTATGCTGTGGGGCAATTCAGTAGTCGTAGAAAGTGCGTTAAAGGTTCAGAAGAAGTATGTTCGGGCGATCTGCGGTGCGTGGTTCGACAACAGCTGTAAACCGATATTCAAAAAACTAAACATACTGCCTTTGCTAAGCATATACATTAGGGACATCTGTGTATTTGTCAAAACTTATCCTCAATATTTCAAAACACGTGGTGAAATTAATCAAAGGTAGACTAGAGCAAAAATTATGAATCTTTTGTACCAACCTCGTTGCCATAAAGTAATTTATAAGAAAAACTGTTTCAACATGTGTATAATTATTTTCAACAATTTGCCAAATTAAATTAAATTGTTACAAGGACATACTCTTAAGTTACAATTGACAAAATGACTTTTGATATTGCTTCTATAGTAATAAAAAATATTTAGAGTTTCCAAATACAAATTTACATTAATTTGAAGTGCAATTAACTGTAGAAATCGAACATGAAATTAATATTTGTACATCTCACAGACCACATAGTACATCTGCTTGCAGGTTGAATACAATGTACCTAATTTTATTTAAGACCTTTATCATTACTGTATTCTGGCAAATAAACGTACATATTCTATTCTATTCTATTCATTGCTGTCCGGCGGGCGGCAGAACTAGGTAAAGGCATTAAATATATTAAATACTTCTCGGGATGAACTGTTTCTCAAGGAGCTCTACTGCTAATAAACATCCATTTCTTGATAATTCAACTCGTGTTATTAATACATAGTGACGAATATTCCTTCACACGAAGGTAGTGTGAGGGCAAATGAGTTCAAGGTAGCATTTTTACGTATAAACTTGTTTTAAATAAAGATATAAATCGCGTATCTAAGGAAGCGCACAAGTACAGACGCTCTCGCCACTCGCATTGCTGCAGTCACAGAACAATAAAAAAAGTTTTTTTCCGTGGCTATAATAGCGGGCATGTCTAACGCACACGTTAACAAGATTGGAACGCACTTGGAACAACCGGTTACAGTGTTGGGAATGGGCAGTCATAATTGAATTCTGAAATAGGTATACACTCTATAGCTTGCGCCAGGGCTCCCGCGCCAACGGAGGGGCAGGTCAGTTGTTCTCCGACCCGCCCCCAGACGAGCGAGGCCGTGCACTGCGGGCTCCGGAGTCCCTGTCCAAATCCCGCTGGCCTCACTAGGGATCAGGCGAGCAGCGAACTGCCTTCGCCTTCTCCCCGCACGTCTGCGCCGAAGCGTGTGCGCGTCCGCCGCGTCCTCGCGCACCCGCTCCGCAGCCTCCTTTTGCGACATAACCTCACCGCAAAAGGAGGCCACCGCCTCCCAGGACTCCTCGCTACCGAGCATGGCGGCAACCACGCTCGGCAGCGAGAGGTTCTGCCCTATTGTCCCCGTCAGGGTACGGCGCTGCTCATCATGTGCTGCACGGTGTCATCCGCAGCGCCGTACTCGTGGCACGACGGGGCCGCTTCCCTCCTCGCCATCTTGTGTAGATAGTGACCGAAGCAGGCATGCCCGGTCAGCACCTGCACAAGGTGGTACGACAGTGGCCCGTGGGACCAGCTCACTTACTCTACGAGGACAGGACGGATCGCCCCTATAGTACGAGCTCCATAGGGGGGATCCGCCAAGCCCTCTTTCCACCGGTCCCGTATGCGCTGCGCCGCGAGGCGGCGCTCCCGCTCGACCTCTTGGGGAGCAGGGCGCTCACCTCAGTCGCTCATTCGCCGCCGGTAGGCGTGGACCTCCGCCAGGACCTCGGCTTCAAGGTCCCACGGCGGAGTACCGGCGAGGACGCATGCGGCTGCGCAGGCCACCGTCATGTACGCTCTACATATTCGCAGGGCGACCACCCTCTGAGGCCTCCACAGCAGCGATTTCTTCGCCGTTGATAAGGCCCCATTCCAAATGGCAGCCCCGTATAAAGCCATACTTTAGCCCCTCAGCACCCAATCGTACCCCAGGTTCCACAGTAGTGGTCCTAACACGGAGCCCTGGGATACTCCGCACCTCATTGGGCGCTTGGCGCGCCTCCCTTCCCTCGTTTGGTAGAGCACCACCCTGTCCACCAGACGGCTGAGGTACCTGGGGAGCTTGTGGTACCTCAGCGCCTCCCTGATAACGGCGAAGGGGAGAGTGCCGAAGGCGTTGGCTATGTCCAGAGACACAGCCACTACATCCTCCCTCTCGCCGTTAGCATCCTCCACGATGTGTCGCAGCGACCCCAGGGTGTCCAAGGTGGAGAGTCCAGCCCTGAACCCGTACTGTCGCTGCGACACATCGGGGCCTGTCCCCCACAGGTGAGCAACTGGAGTACCTGGAGACCAATGAAATCTTACCATCGAACAATCTAATTTCAGAAAGAGTCGCCGTAGTTGATATCCAGACTTTTGCTGTCTAATATCATTTACTATAATAAATATTTGTATAGTATTGTAATACTGAAAATGGTTTACTTGCTATATCTGCGGTTGTACTCAGCGAGTGGAGGTGCGCGGTGAGAATGGGTCCTCTGTGCTTTCTATTAGTTACCAAAAATGGGTACCTCAAGATTTCGTGGACCAGTTTTAAGGCATGTATTTAAATGATCTCTTTTTAAATTTGCAAAAGCAACAGGCAAAAAATCTAAACAGTTATCTTTTTTAATTATTAATTCTCTTTCTCTGAGACATAAAATAAATTAAATCGATCGATATCTTAATCTGTTCTGAGGTACGCAAAAAATGTTTGATTTATATAAATTAATTTTGATAGTTTTATGTTGGGCCGCAAAACTAAGACAAATGAGCGTTACAAATAAAATTTAGATACTTATTTTTAGAAATAAGTAAATGTTGATTATATTTGTATACTAATATTGTGTCAATTATAATATAATTTGACTTGAAAACATGTTCCGAAACGCAAGCAAATTGGCTTCTGGCACTCGCCAGTCGCTGCCGCGACACGATCGCTTCGCTCGCTCGGCTCGTGCTGCTTTTTCATATCCTAACCTAATGAATGGAGGGCGCAACCAGGCAATCAAGATTTAGTAGGAAATCGATATCAATACTCAAATCAACGTCAAGATATACTGGTTATAAATGTCATCAATCGTTAAAAGAAGAAGACCAATTAATAAGAAAAAAGAATAAAATATTATTTTGAGTGTTACCTTGAATGAAATTCATTTATAATTTATCCGTAGATCAACTAATATAGATGGAACAATGAATATATATATCAATCAAACATAAAAAATATAGTTAAAAAAGTGCACATTTACAATATATTAAGTATTTCTTTGAGGATCAAATAATATTATCCCCCGTTTCAATCATTCTATACACTGCAGAAATCATGGGTAGCGTTAGGAATTGTATGCGCCATCTGCATGCCGACGACTTACAAATTTACGTT